TTAATTACTATAACAACACATAGTTCAAACAGTTGACCAAATGCGCGCAGTCACTAGTATTTACAGGCATGCTCCGTTACTGTTTTATTAAAAATATTTTAATGTGACAGAATCTCGACCTTCTTTGTATGACTACAAATCATCTCACGACATTGTTCTCACATGTAAACTTGAGACAACTATCAACAATGTAAACTTGCGATTGAAATATGTATGTACGTAATTAATTATCATAATTCAAAAGACTGCACGTATGGTGCAGTAACTGAGTGACCAGATGATTATGAAGATGAAACCTATCCCAATTGGCTCTATCATGCCATTGTGTTTTCCTATCCCAATGTAGGACATACCTACACCGTGAAATTTATTTGGTTTTCATCCCGCGGCAAAACAACTTGCCATAAGGAGTACTTTTGATATATAAAATAAAAACAAAAAATATTATATAAATTTTAGTTACAAAATATTCATAAATTTCTATGAAATGAACATGAAACTCTAGACGTAAATTTGTAGGCACTATTCGCATTGCATGTGCCACCCGACGAGAAATACCTCTTCGAGAATTACATGGCGTGATGTTTTGATAATGTACTATGAGTTTGTATGCGCTTTCAAAGTTTGCTTTTTGTAATTGTTCACCAGTTATTTTTTCTTTTAAACATTTTATTTCTTTGTAAAACTATTGTATTACCAAGACAGAACCAATCTGGTTCAGGATGAAAACGAAATATATTTCACAATGTAACATTTTTTCTGTATTTTTATTATCTTTTATTTTAGAGAATGATTGCTCGATCATAAAGACAACAAATAAGGAACCCTTCGGTAAGGGCGGAAATAAGTACGAGAGAACTATCACATGAAACCATATCAATACTCACTGACTTCGATCAGAATAACAAATTCTTATCATAAAATCAGCTTCCGAAAAATTAGGGAGCATTAATAGCGCCCTGAGGCTCTAATCCACGGCCGTGTGACTTACGCACGACATCGCCGAGTGAAAGGGTGCGCCCCCGCTAGCCATATAAAAGCTCCAAGCACTTCTCGTCAGGCATCATTCAACATCCTCGATCAACTCACATACCACACAATGGCATTCAAGGTACAGACTCACACGCAAGAACCTGTTCTAAGAGTTAAAGCATAAACTATCGCTAATTATCTTATGTAAATAGTGCAGTGGAATAAGTTCACTAATTGATCAAAATATTGTTTTCAGTTTGTAGTATTCGCCTGCTTGGTGGCTGCCGCCAGCGCCGGAGTGTACCCAGCCGCCCCCGTGGCGTACTCCGCCGCCCCCGCCTACGTCGCCCATCAAGCGTACGCTGCGGCCCCAGCGCACGTAGTACACGCTGCCCCCGTGGCCTACGCCGCCCCTGTTGCTAAGGTGGTCGCCCCCGTCGCCAAGGTCGCCGTAGAGGAATATGACGCGCATCCCCAATACAGCTTCGCGTACGACGTGCAGGACGGTCTCACCGGTGACTCCAAGAGCCAGCACGAGAGCCGCGACGGAGATGTCGTCCAGGGATCCTACTCCGTGGTAGACCCTGACGGTACCAAGCGCACTGTTGAGTACACTGCTGACCCCCACAACGGTTTCAACGCTGTTGTACACAAGGAACCCGTTGCTCACGTCGCTAAGGTGGTCGCTGCCCCCGTCGCTAAAGTGGTTGCTCCCGTCGTCGCCAAGGTAGCCGCCCCCGTCGCTTACCAGGCTGCCCCCGTCGCCTACCAGTCTGCCCCCGTGTACCACTCCGCCCCCGTGTACCACGCTGCCCCCGTCGCCAAGCTGGCGTACGCCGCCACCCCTGTGGTCCACGCCGCTCCCGTCGCCAAGTTCGCTGCCCCAGTTGCCTACTCCGCTCCCCTCTACCACCACTAAACTGATGCCAAAACCTAGGAATCTCATTGTACTATTATAAAACGTATTATTTTCAATGCGTTTGTAGTATAAAAATGTTCATTAGGAAATATTAAATTATTATTTTTGTAATGAAAATCTATTATTTTATTTGATTTATTAACCGAACTTATTTTAATTTTTTAACCAAAAAGTAAAGGAAGTTCTCAGTTTGACCTATATGTATGTACCTATGTTTATGCGCGATTATCTCGCAATTGGCTTAACCGATTTAAATGAGGTTTTCAGTAAAGTGTTTTTTACAGTTGGGGAAGGTTTTAGTATATTCATTCATTAAAAGAGGGGTTTGAAGTCGGTTTTTGTAAACTTAGTATATAAAAGAAGTATCACACAACAAACTAGTGAGATTTTTTCATGTCAAAAATACGATAGCCCAGTTTTTGTTTTCAAGTCCATTTCGTAGTAACAAAAATAAGGATTATATGAAGGACAGTATCTAAGAAAACTATGTAACTCGTTTACCTCGTCTCGTTTCGTCAATTGATCGTAAGCGCTATTACCGAGCAAGACGTGTTAGAAGTGTTATTGGGACTTTTTTTTAATAATATTATAAAATTTCACTCGACTAGCTCTGTAGCTAATCTTGAGCCTCACTCCTCACTTTTTATACGTTACTTAGGACTCATAACATAACTAGTGAATAAGGATTGTTATATTCAAACTACATATAATAATTACTTATAGGTAATATGCGCACGTACCAGTGCACCTTCTATCTACCTTTTCCGAGATTAGAACACAAGACATTATGTTATATCCAGTATGCATAATACCTTTTTAAATAAAGGACAAATCAATACTTACTAAATAAATATTTTACAATAAGAACTTACTTAAATGCCACAGACAGAATGTTATTTAATTATTCGTCGTAGCACGTAGGTATAGCCGGGTTAAAAGTTCACTCTCAGGCGTCCTGCGACTGAAATTATCCTACTGACATTTTCTAGTACTTATAACGTACCTAGGCTGACAAAGGGCCTGGGAAATATTTGGTATATACCTACCTAACTTTTATAACCGACCGAATAACCGAGGTAATTAATATCTATATATATATATATAAAAGAAAGTCGTGTTAGTTACACTATTTATAACTCAAGAATGGCTAAATCGTTTTGGATGAAAATTGGTGGAGAGGTAGCTTAGAACCAGGAGACGGACATAGGATACTTTTTACCCAATTCTTTTTTTTTACTTTTTACCGAAAATCAAGAACGGGAACGGGAAATATCGGGATTGCGCGTATGAAGTCGCGGGCAGAAGCTAGTAGAATATATTTTAGTTTTTTTAAGTAATGAACCTGTATGTAATAATATAATGAACAAATGATTTTGAAATTTATAACACCTAAATTCGATAAGTACACTAAATATAGCATTCATTAACTGCACTTTATCACATGATTTTCCGTCTAGGTATCATGAAAAATTCACGTTTAAGTAATAAGTGCTCATACTTCACTTTTACATTTTAAAGACATGCTAAAGTAAAGAGATGATATTTAAAATCGAGACTGTTCCAAACACGCAGTCAAAACAATGATCGGTACGTATAGCTAGGTTGTGAACGCGAGCTTCCCCTTGCCGCTTCACAATGAGGCACTCACCCCAACCGAGGGGAAAGCCAGACGGGTGGCGGATGCCGCAAAAAAGGGTGTGAGAAAATCGAACTGTTCATAAAATTTTTAGGCACAGATGAAAATACTATGCAGATTGCGGAACTTATAACTCTGTATATATTTTATGTCACTTGTCGTTTTGGTTTTTGATCAAGGTACCTATAGGTAGTATAGGTTAGGTACCTATTTAATTGTATTTAATGAATTTATATTTTAACAGCATTACTTGGCTCCTCAATCCTTACGGACATTCCCTTTTCAGTATTTAAATTATTAGGTATGTAAAGCATAATGTACTTAGTAATAAAATATATTATGGTTGAGTTAATTATGTAGTTCCATAAAACTACAATCAAAATGCAAATATACATATTTGCGGTGTTTATTTGGACAGGCGTTAATACTTACACTTCATATTCATACCAATAGGGTCCATATCTTGCAGAATTATTTTGTGCCTAATCACCACTAATTAATAAATCATAAACAGAAAAAAATACAATTACAAACTATATGGTAGCTATAAAAATAAATCAGGGTCATAATAACATCCACTATTTACTCCGCAATGCATAGAAACTGAGCAATAACTAAGTAGTTATATGCAGAGACATGTTAGCGCTAGGCTTTGTTCTTCCCTATTCCCTGTCAACGACCTTGGATATCTGCCCCATTCGCTCCACGCCCTATCCTACGCCCAAGTCCTACGTAAATAGCACTGCGTAACTATAGAACACGTCTGGGAGACGGGAAGGGAACAACGTCAACACAACGCCCTTGCCAGACTAAAACTGTGGAACTATAAATATTGTGACTAATTTAAATTTAAAAAATACATAGTTCAATTAACTTATATACTGTATCATATAAATTTAATTACTCTTTTTTTCTCTCAATGTATCTGTAAATAATTTGATCATCACCCAAAATTTTGATGGTTTCCAAATAATATTTCAATCACAGTAATATTTGATCAGATTAAGATAACAAATCTACACCTAAATACTAGTTATCAACATTAAATATGCCTTAAATCATTAAGATAATATAGTTTTATAAATAAACCCGATTTTTCAAACTTTGTACTACTAGCGCCATTGTTGCTTCAGTGTTGCCAAGTAAAAATGGAACAGCCGTAGTATTGTGTCTTTCCATGTTTGACAGCTGAAATCAAAATAAACATCGGCCGACGCCCAAACAAAACATTATTTTTGTGGAATAGGTGTGTCGCACACGCCCGGCTGCAGTGTCCGCAGACTCCAATTAAAAATACTTCTAATAATACGTGAATCGGTCTTTAAAATAATTATACTATCGGTGCCTAAAATATTTCTTGTGGTTTCGCGATTTGTGAAAATTATTTTAAATTTTCAATAATAATTAAAAATTACATAACTAATATTATCGGAATATTGATTACTTCGAAACATAGAGGAACAACTACCGGCAATGGTGTCTACGAGGGGGGTCCGCTATAAATTCAGCGAAGGCGAGCGCGTATTGTGTTATGAACCGGATCCTACAAAAGCCAAGGTGCTCTACGACTCCAAGGTAAGGTCCGCAGTACTAGGTCTAACCACGCCCAACATACTAAAGTATTTTTACCCTCTTCTATATTAAATAATATTCTACAACTACCTGCAACAACTACTCAACAACAACTAGGTTAGAATTATGTAAAACTTTTTCTCAGGGGCTTATAACTTTTTTGCCGAAATATTTGTCCAAAATTATCACAGAATAGATTTAGAAACTTTGTAAATGAACTTTCACAGCACTTATTATGCATAACTTGTTACTAAAAGTGATAAAACGAATATATATTTTTTTTTTCATTTATTATGTTAGAAATAACACAAATTACTTGTAAATTATGATACATGTTAATGAGTAATTTAACGATAGATATTTAAATTCTATAAATTAAACTTTTTTCTAAAGTTTTAAGTTCATTTCCTGGATGTGGGTGGGGTAGGGGTGAGGTCTGACCACATGTATTGTAGTTAAAAATATTTACTGTTTCTCAAAAATGTCTTACTAGTATCTTATAAGATATTCTTGCATCGCTGCAGTTGCTTAATTCATTGAAACATATTGTAAAGGGTGGGGCACTACCACCAACAGGCAGAAGCCATAAACATGTGGCTGGGGTGGGGCAAGGGGTGGCTAAGTCAATTAACAATACTCTGTAACACACTATTTTCCTACACCCTTTAATGCCAATTGTAGGATTTTTTAACAATAGATAAATAAATTGTGTGAATCCAATCTTAAGTCGAGTTCCATCATAACGACTCCACTTCAGTGCCTAAATTTATTGCACACAGGTTTTGGAAGTAATAGAAAGTAAAGACAAGCGTGGCCGGCGTACCGTGGAGTACCTGATACATTTCCAAGGCTGGAATTCATCATGGGATCGCTGTGTAAGCGAAGATTTTGTGTTGAAAGACACAGAAGAAAATAGGCAGCTACAAAGAGATTTAGCTGAGAAATCTCAACTGCAACTGTAAGATTTTATTTTTCAAAATATTCATATTCGGGCAATTTATAAAGAATAAAAAGCTGTGCAGACTGCTGTGCTGGTTACAATTTTTTTCCTTCAATGTTCAATGTTTAATATAGGGGCGCCTATTTATACCGCCGCGAACGTAAAAAGGGCGGCGGCAGTGGCTCTAACTCGACCGGCGCGGGTCCCGCCAAGCGCGCCAGACATGGCTTCTCCGATGATGGCTCCTCCAGCAGCACTCAGCCAGATGGTGAGTTGCAATTGCAATTCTACAATATTCTCGATACATTTTGTAATGTTTGTGCTCATTTTTTTATTTTAAAATTGACCTATTTTGCTCTGTTATTATTTCGTGTGTAATTAATTTTTGCAACAATCTGATATGATAGTTATTGTCATTATACTTTTGCTACAAAATCATTGTATGTGTACTTGGTGCAAGCCATACGTTTGTATAACATTGGGTGCAATACGGCACCAGTGTACATACAAACAAGTTAAACACGTGGCTATAGTTTCAAAAACCGCGCCACCCGACACACCCAAAGTACGGCAAAGATGGCCGTTTACGCGGTAACGCCCAGACATGCGCAGTAGCGCTCTCACTCACCCCTTTCGCATTGGCGGCTTCCTTTGTTATTATGTTCATTGTTTATTTATACTTTGTTTGAAAGCTGAACTTTTTATTTTTGTACTTTGAAATCACTGGACATATTTCATGAGGAACATAAATGTTCTATTGCAAATATGATACCTATTTGATTGTTTTTTTCAGTTTATCGTAATAGCTTTGCTAAAAATATTTTGCGGACGTAATGCACCGTTCACAAAAGGCGTCTTTATCACTCCGCACAACTATTTTACAATTTGGCGTTAATTAAAAAACCATAACTCCTGTCTATTATATAATAAGATTATTGAACTCCCATCTTTACATAAGACTCAGTATAGGTGATAGATAAGCAGCGAAAAGTGGGGGGTCCGGAACCTATCCCTTCAGGGAATAAAAGGCGTGATGATATTATGTAAGACCAACTACAGAAGATTCCTGGGTCGTTCATGTATTGTATGTGCCGGAAATGTTATTATAGCGCAAAATTGTATTTATTACGTCTAAATTAGATTAATTTACGTTCCTACAAACGTACATGAGATGTCGTCTGCGTTGTATTATTGCGGGCACGCCCTTTATAGTACGTAGTACCGTATTCAGGGCATATCCATAACACTAGAAACGTTCTTGCAACTTGTAAACATAGTTATCTAGGTACGTGTGTATCATTGTTGTTGCGTCGCTATTTATAGAACATACTGAGACCTGAGTACTTGCTATTGATCAGATAATGTTGAGGAAGGCGTGGAGACGGCCGACACTGACTCCTCGTCTGCATCTGGGTCGAGTTCCCAGCCTCGGTCACCGCCACCCAACGTGCATGTAGGCCGAGCTCACATCACGCTGCCTTCAGCTTTACGGTAAATAAATGATGATTTCTAGTTCGAGTGTAGTCAGAACACTACTTTAGTGACGATGATTTGAAGCTCAATTGCTTATTATAATGGAAATAATTGTTCAATGTCAGCTCAATTTAGTCAAACATTCTATTGATTATATCTCTTTATTTGCGTTGTGCCATAAATTATTTGGTTTATTACAGTGATCGGCTGACATTTGATTATCATTTGGTGGTGAAGCGAGGTCGCCTGTCGCAGTTGCCTGCGACGCCATGTGCTGCGGAGATCTTGGAGTCGTTTGTGAAGTGGTTCGCTCGTGCCGGTGCCTGGGCGACTCCTCGCGCCCGCCATGATCCGCCGCAGAAGCCTGATATGCTTGATGTGTCTTGCAGGTATATACCAGTCGACAACCTATCATAATAATTATGTACCTAATTACGATTTTATTTTTAGAAGCTTTTTGTTCCTACTAAATGCTATTAGAGAAATCACAAATGGACGCCACTCGATATGCAGTTACACTAGATACGTATCTTTTTTCTTAAATTATGTATTTTCTGTTGTTCCCAGATTAAATTTGGTCCGCGAGGTGGCTGACGGTCTCCGCGTGTACTTCGACTTCATATTACGCGGTCATCTGCTCTACAAGCAGGAACTGGCCCAGTACCATGAGATCTGCGGACGTTTTATTGATGAGTAAGTTATCAAACCACATTTTATTCGTTTATTTCTCCAGAGATTACTTAAATTAATTCGTGAGTTTTCAATAAGTAACGTAATTAAACGAAAAATTAATGAACATGTATCTTAATACGTAAAATATTAAATAAGGAAATTCATTTACCTAAACTTAATTTGTTTAAAACACCAACCACGTAAAATCATTCTTAAACGTGCAACGCTGTAACCTTTATCAGACTGCTGTAATTTTATATTACTTTAGACAAGAAGAAATCAAGAAGCAGCAGTTGGAAGCGGATGATGACTATGAGGATGAGCAGATGGGTACCGAGGACGAAGTGACTGCAGCTGAAGAAGATCTCAAGAGTCCCAAGATACCGGAGTACTCACACCTACCTCCGGATCCCATGGATGCTGATAAAAGCGAGGGTAAGTAGCACTAAAATGAGCCAACTACAAATACCTTAATCATAAACTTACCACTTTGTTCTGTGTTTCTAGGCAAGAGAAACTGAGTAGTTCTAATTAGATTCCTATTAGCCCTTACATCAAACCGAATGAGATAATATTATTATTGCCTAAAAAATATCATATGCATTATTGCAATTAAATTCTTTAAAATCTGAAAAATCCTTGATGTTTAACAACTTTACCATTAATTTCGATTCTTTATTACTTTCGGTAATAACCACATCTATACACTTACATAAATGCATTATTTGTTTAGCAAAATCGTCATTTAAAAATATTATTTTATGCAAACAGGAGAATGCAACAACGAGGAGGCTTCGGTATCGAAGACCGAAAATAATGAAAAGACTACAGCCGTCAGTGACTCCACCACCGACGACAACCAGGTCGCTGGCTCGGCCAAACCTCGCGAGGGAAGGTCTGCTACACGCAGTGGCAATGTAGCAAGGAGGTTGGTACAAATAAACAAAACAATACTATTCATTCGTCCGTAATATTGCAAGCTGCATTTCATCGGGTTCTATTTTTCAGATCAAACTCATTTTTTCCAGTTAGCCTACTAACTGAACTTGGCCTGACGAAATTTGAAAAGTTATGTGTTGTAAAAAACTCCAATTTATATTACGCAAAAAAAAATGTTTTTTGGGAAACAATAAAATTGTCTACTTGTAAGTTCTTTACTGAAGGTATTTACTCCATTGTCTTTGCTAATCCATTGTGTGTATTTCAGGCTTCGTTCGCATAAGTCGGTGGTGTCCCAGTCGGAAAACGAAGAGCCTACTCCATCGACATCTACCGGTGAACCGAGGTTGTTCGAGACCATGTCGTCTAGGTACGCTTCTATATATTTTTATCCTCTTTTCAGTCCGCTCTGCGCAAAGCTTTTTACAGCCAGTTATTATTTCATAAAACTAGATCAATAAGGCACATGAAAATCGAATACTTAAAAATTAATCGGTGCCTTAGTGGATTTATTTAGTTTTTTTATTAAAAAAAAACGTTGCCCCACCCTAGTATTTTCTACTCAGTCGTGGGTGCGTTTACAAACATACAATTTCACATACACATCACACCCAGACACGAAACAACAATTTGTGGATCGGCAGCCGGTTGCCCAGCCACCGCACCAACCGTGCAGTCAAGTTGTTCCAAAGAGTAGATTCCTATAGAGAAAAACGAACTGTTCATTTACTCGATTTTATTCATTTAATGATATTTAAGCTAATAATGTTTTATTCACGTTAGTGTCGGCAGTAGCGGATCGTCGCTGAGCGAGTGCTGGGCGCGGCCCACGCAGTCCACGCCCGCTCCGACCACTACGCGCACTCCACTGTCTCTGCTGTTTGATAAGGTAATACCACCACTTCGATATTTATATGGTTTTGAATATGCATTCAAAACCATCAACCATGCGGTTGACGCAGTACTGCAGTAGTGAGGCGACCTCTTTTTTAGAAGAAAATAGTAGTGTGAAAATGAATGTTAGTTTTTTATTGAATTTCATTCTGATGTCCCGTTTTTATTCCCAGGTTTCAAAATGGCAGATAATTCCACGCGAGGGAACCGAACACTTGCCATGCCGTGTATACGGCGCCATACATCTTGCCAGACTTTTCGGTAAAGTATTCTTCTACTTTGAAATCTATAAAATATTTGTTTGTATTTTTAATCTAGTTATTAACTTAACGTTTTATCTTCATTACAGTAAAATTACCTGATTTTCTGAATGCTACTCAAATGCCAGACTTCAAGTTGAAACTGATTCTCAAGCACATCGATATGTTCGTTCAGTAAGTGATCCAATATAAATACCAATAACAGAAAATACATACATTCAGTAAACACCGGTACATCGGAGAGCTTTTTAGAAATGGTACTGGACTTTGACTCAAAAACCTCTTGATTTTCTTTTGCAGATTCTTGGACGAGCACAGTGAGTGGTTCGGCGAGGTGTACTACGTGGCCGACAGCATGTGTCGCTCCCGTTAAATCTCACAACTACACCGATACTCATCAAAACCACAAAATTTTGCTCTCTATTGAGATACTTTACATTCCAAAATATTAAAAACTCATCGCTGAATATTTTTACGAGCTGATTTAAATTCAAAACAAAATTGTTGATTCGCCACCGTCCATTGGAAAAAAATTAAACGTCAGCGATGTTAAATCAGTTGCTATACTATCAGAAACCCTTATAAATGCGCTTTCATCTTGAATCTCTTTGCAAAACTGTTCTAATAATATAGCAACTGATATGAATTCTATCTTCTGGTAACGAGATTACTAGAAACAATCAATATTGTAAACGAGTGACTTATTACGCCTTCATTAGGGGACATAAAGTTGAATAATGTATTTCAAAGTTCTCATGTTAAATTCGCTTCTAACTCGAACACCACTTTTGAACCAGGGATCTTGTTACCATTGGTACAGAGTCCTTGCATAGAGAGAAAGTTATCAAGACTGGAATGCGGACGAAATGCTCGGCCCGCGGCAAAGATATGAGAGAGACTGGTGAATGACTGCATGTTTGGATAAAGTTATTATTCAAAAGTGGTATTTGTGTTAAGATTACGTAGGGTACTATTTTCTTCTAGGAAACGTTTGTCAGTATTATGTAGCGGTTGTAATTGGGACCTTGTTAATTACTTGCACTGGCCTATCAATGCACAATAGGGAGCCTGGTATGATTATTATAGATACGTAGAGGTTAGTCGTTGTATTTAGACTAGCCCGTGTTTAATCTTTCAACTTTATACTAGAAGTATAACTTTAGGTTTGTGCTTTTTATGTGTATGATTTATTAATTTATACAGGCTATCGTAGCACATTCGGCATACTATACCGTCATACCACAATTTCTGAAGTCAAAAAAGATATCTAGTTTGCTCAAATAGTTGATTGAGTGCAGACTAATGCGTAATATAAGTTTATTATCTACTATAGTAATGAACAAGTAAATGGCTATGTAGTGATATAGCGTTATTTTTAAGTATTTCGATGTTCCAGGCATTATTTGTATTATTTACTGTACGTGTTGTGTTGCGTGTTTCACATAGCAAATAATAATGCATACTATTCGAGCGCAGCTGTTTACTATTCAGGCGCGCACATAAATTATATCAACATTAAACTATAACATTTATGTAGAGACTATATCAAATATTGTTATTCCAAGCAACAGTTGTACGATGTATCAATTATAGTTTCACTAATTAAGTGTAGTCAGCAAATTAGAGAAATAAGTACAGTGCAAATTGAAACTAGCTTTGTAGTAAGTGCAGACCAATATAAATCCAATATTGTATAACAAATGTAATGTCGCAGGTACACACTAGTGGCTTAACAAAGCATCAAACATAACAGTAAGATTGCATTCTATTTTAGTGGACAACTATTCAAAGAAATAAAGATGATTACTTTCAAATCGAGTTTTATTACGAAAAATTACATTCAAACTTTAATAATAAAAACAATTTCGGCAATTTAGGACCTGAATTAGACAAATAATCATCATATTGACAACCGAAAGAATTAACACATTACTCACACCCTATCAACGAAATTACAAATAGGTGTGTTGCGTTCATAAGGCACACAATAAACATTAAATTTTTTTTTTTTCAGAACACTCTTTGAACTTTGAACAAAACACCTTCATTTATAAATTGGTTTAGAACCAGGCGTCACAAGAGCTTAGTCACCATCCTATGTTGGCCTAACACTAACATATTTAAATACTCACTAATATTAAGTATGATCTCGTAGGTAATGTGTTAACAAAGCATCAAAGACCCAATCTGAGATCAAAGTAACTGTTCAACCTGACAAATGATACAATAATAATTTAAATAGGAAATTCCAATACAATTCAACTAGAACCTTAAACTGAGCAAGACCAGGTCTTTATTAACAATGTTAAAATTTTCAGTTTTATTACAATAGTGGCGATAATTCGTAATTATTTTTAGTACAATTATAAGTAATGATAGTAAAATTACGACTAAGGACACCAAAACCCTCTTGACCATCATAATTAGAGCAAGCAAGTCAAGGATTTAACTGTATTAGACGTGCTTTACAAATATATTGATGTTTGTTCCAATGGTTTATAAATAATTTCGCTCCATCCTGTTTATGACGCGTCTATACTCCTGTTCGAGTGTAAGGTACTGGTTGGTCAGACGACTGTGTGTCTCACTCAGGCCCGTGGCACTAATTGTAGCTGCATATTCTTCAGGCTTCAATACCTTTTGCAGTTTCTTCATTTCTAATTTCTTTTTCTGTAAACAATATATATTTTACAAATACGTATTTTCCATAACAAAATATTACAGATGATAAATACTTTGTTTAGCTAATAACTAACCTGGAAAGGCGCATTGAGTCTATTTTTGACTTCAAGCCTGTAGTTCAAGTAGGCAGTCTTATCTGATGTGTTGGTGTTCTTCAAGCGAAGTATCTCATATATGCGACGAGCTTGCTTCTTATTAATTTTGTATTTATTACATGCTTGGATAGCCATATCTTGAGAGAAACTGAAACAAAATTTATTTTTATTCAATGTTCTGGCTCTAGTTTTCCTCTTCATGAAATACAAAGTAAGTTATTAAAATAATTACCCTTGCACAAGTTTTGAAGGATGAAAGGCAGGAAGATTTTCACAGCTTGCTGCATCAACATAGTCTCTAATCCTCTGGAAATCCTGTGACGGGTCCTCTACAGTAATATCTACTACATCTGGTTGAATCATGAAGTTAGCATAAATTGCCTGTAACAAAATATGGTACACTCATTATAATTTATAATTGTTATCTTAATAATGTAGCCTTCCTAACATTCTCTTTGAATCTGATTACTCTAAGAAGAAATGCCGAAACAAACTCAAATATCAGTCTGTTGAGACAAAATCATACCTCTAGAAGGTTTGCACAGATGCCAAGCTTCCTGAATGGCGGCAGTGTGAGGACTTGAGAGATGCGGGGACGAGAATGACGCGGGTATGCGTAGTAGCGGTACACTGTGGCATATGCTGCAGTAGCATACCTGGTGCCGCCCTCACTGGATTGAAACTTCTCATACCTGCAAAATAAAAAAAATTAAATAAATGCTTATGCTTCTTAATTTCATCACAGTGACAAGAATATCCTAACCCACATTCAAGTATAGTGAAGGCCGTGAGCACCTTCACCACCCTGATGAGTAGTGTAAGGGGCTGCCAAAGGGCCACATGCTTGAGACTATCTTGATTGCACCTGACTACACCATGGGGTAAAGAGACATCACAGCGTAATGGAATACTGTGTGTACTAAAGGGGATATTAACAGCAATCTATACATACTTAAAATATGTGGGTAGATAGCAACTAACATACAAATATGAACATTACAGAATAACTCCCCAGTCATAGTTATTGAACAACCAGGTCAAATTAACCAGTTTACTAAATAATACTTACACTGTGAAAAATGTCCATTGATCATCATCCACATCAATGAAAGAGGCTGCATCAACATACCACAGCAAGAAGGTCTGTAACCTCTGATGGTAAGCTAGGAAACCACTGGTAGATGTCTCAGTGTAGTACACTTCAAAAAATCGTTTTTCACCACCATCAGCTGTAAATTAGGAATCATTATTAATAGATATAGTGGCCAAAAAGTTTAAAAAGGATTAATGAATCTCAGATCCAATACCTAACAAATATTTTGTCACAAAATTGAATGTTAATTTTTCCAAAATTATATTACAGTTGTTTAACTCGTCGAGTACCGGTTTTATAGACACAATTAAAGAACAATAGATCGCGGTCACCGGTGACCGCTTGGTGTTTGACAGATTAAAATAAAACTGAACCTTACAAAATACATTATACACAATAATGTGGAGAGAAACTTCATGTTCATACATATTCAATAAGAAGCATTTTATAAAAAGCATTTCACTAAGACAATTATTCATGGAGATTAAAAATAATAAAACATGTTTGAACAAGTCCTATGTTACATCATTCTTATTTTATTCAGTACAAAATGTACAATAAGTCACTAAAATAATGTACAGTGGACTTCATAGTGTAAAGCTGTAGAATTGAATAACAACACTTACATACACTACTATGTAGATATTAAATTTATACAATTTTTACTTACCAGGGGTAGCTTGAAAAGCATGTATCTGCTTTCCAAAGGGAACAAATGTCTCATCTTTCTTTAGCCTATTGACAAACTGGTCAAAATTGGTAGTGAATCCTGGTGCAAGCACTTTAGTTAGAGCACCTTCCACATCATCTGCCTTCATACCCTCAGATTTGTTTGGTTCAATCTGTAAGAAAGTAAAGACAACATGTCACTTGAGTGAATTATTATTGTCAATAAAATTGTTTCTATTTCAGCACTGATGATCTAAATTTAACATAAAGGTCTGTGTGAAGCAATAGCCAGTCCCTGATTATTATTTACCTTCTCTGTGTACTCAACCCCAAGGTACGTCTGAAGACTACCTGCACTATAAAAGAGTTTTATGTGCAAGTCTGTGTACCCAAATATGTTTTCGTTTTCACCGAAGACCTGATGACACATCTCGGGACCGAAACTTGTTTCGTCATTTTCTAGTTCATCAACATCTCGCACTGAAAATATGACGAAGACATGATCAACAAAAGCAACCCGTAAGATTAAACACATTCTTCATAATGTATGTACTTAGTTTCACGCCATACATTGGCAGGAAATGGCAACGCAGGAAAGCTAACACAATTGAACTCAGATGTTTGCACCCAGTTCTAATTAGGATCTCTTTATTTTGTAGTAAGCTCTTACCCAATTTAAATTCCAGGACCTCATTTCCATCTACAACTAAATGGCACAGTGCATCAGTCATTTTCAAGACGTTGTAAAATCCAATTTCATTACACTCTAACCCCCGATTCCCGCGCAAAAAGGTGAGTAATAATAATACGGGTAAACAAAATATATATTATTCAGGGTAATTAGTTCAGTACACTGTGGTAATTAAATATTTCGTCTACAAACAAAGTAAAACACTTTATTTAAAATAAATTTACAGTCACAGGACAACAAAAAAGCAAAAATGAGGGAAACGAAAGTTACTTTTTAAAATAGTTGTCAAAAGTGTCATGTATGTCGAAATGACAATTGCCTCGACCATTGTCGATGGACTAGTCACCTAGAGAGAGACATTGACAATTCTTACTAAAGAGGCTGAGTTTTTACTTCTATATACTCTATGGTATCATCCTAATTAGAATGTCATTGTTTGGTGTTATATTTTGAATAAATTGTTTAAAATCCTTGTGTTTTCTTGTGTGTCTTATTACAATATTGGTATTTTATCAGAAAATCATGTTAGTTACCGCGTACCTTTGAATTTGTATGATTTTAATAATATAAGGTAAAAGGCTACATAAACCTCTTTTTAAGTGTTATAATCAAATAGCCTTAAAAAAGTTAAGCTATCTCACAATTGAAAAATATAAAATTATGTAATAAATGAGTTAATAAATAAAAATATCTCTTAAGTAAATAAAACAATCAATAATTAACATTTGTACAATGACTCAATGACAGATTTAGCTGAACAAGTAATGCCATTGCCTAATTTTGAAAAGAAAAGAGTAATATCGATGGTTCATTCATTTATGTGACGTCATTATGGCCTGGTTGGGTTAGGTTTGCTTGGAAATTTTTGTTAACAATCTTGTATTTTAATATATTATATGTTGTGCTACTTATTTTAGATTAGTAATATAAATACCTCATATAGTACCGGTAATCCTGGTGCCAAGAAGTGTCTGTTTCGACGACATTTTCTGGCGAAAATGAATCGCCATGAAGGTGGGTAATGATAATCAAAATTTGTTCGATGCTATTGTCACTGCGAATTTCATTGCAAAAAAATATGAAAATATTGTCATCCTAACACAAATATACGATTTATGCATATAATTCTAATATAATTGTCCTAAATAGAAATGAAATGACAAATTGTTGTTGTATTGTGTATATTGACATATTTTCAGGAGTCAGCTGTGATTCTTGTTTGAAAAATAACTTCAGAGGACGACGATACAAATGTTTGATTTGCATCGATTATGACTTGTGCGCAGCCTGCTATGAGTCCGGCGCTACCACAAACCAACACACTACAGAGCATCCAATGCAATGCATTCTATCTAGAAGTGACTTTGGTGAGACCTATTTACAGTGCTATATACAATTAGAGTGCATCTTATATGCCAAATACTTATGTATTATACCTATGCAAGGTTAAAAACATAGATAGCATGCATATATATTTAAGGCAGTGTCAAATCATCAAAATTTTCTTATTATCTTCATGTGACACACATTTATATTGTATCAAACAAAAGGTAATTCACACTAACTTAAAAATAAACACAACAATCAGTTTTTACAACTTTACCTAAGTCTTTTAGTATTCTTATTAGAATCAAAAAGCTTGTTCATTCACTGAAACCATACAATAATTGTATAATTCATCACTTTCTAATTGGACTCTGGCTTATTGGGATTTTTTTATTTTCATTCAGCTCTAATGTAGAAAACAAATAAAATCAGTCAAGCTTGCTTATCTACAACAGGTGTATGTATATCAAGTTTTCATCAAGTGGAATGCATCAAAAAAGTCATAAAGTTATTCATACATGATACTGAATGATAAATTAGTACTTATCTGTATCAAATACACAAAAACGAAACACTTTGTTTGTTTATAAGCTTTATGTAGGTACAAAAAATAAATGCAATAGAATATTAGGGTCTTATATAAGGGTCAGAGCATATTAAGGTTATTAAGTCAGGCCCTGGAAATCTGATAGGGTGTTTCCACAATCAAAAATATTTTTCTGTTATTGAATATTTTCAAAAGTAACAAATTCATTAACAAAAACAATTTTAAGCTTATTTTAATATTTTTCTAGCTAATTAAAGAGAAAGAAATATGACATTTTTGGTACAAGAAAAACCCTAGTAAACTGCTATTGAAATTGTCTGGTTGAATAATATCCTTATGCCTGAATACTTGAAAGCTACTCAATTTTAATTTAATACTTAAATATCATGCTATCTTTGTCATTTTACAAAAAATTGTAGTGACAGAACTATTCTTAAAATTGAGTGGAGTTGGAGTATTATACTATTAATTCAGATTTTTTAAAGGAGACTCACCATTTTTAATTGGAATCATGAAGGTAAAAAAAATACCATGGATATTCTCTTTGTTTACAAACACTTTACATTGATTTTAACCGAAGTATTGTCAACATAGTGTTCAATTCATTTTATTTAAAGAGTATGTATATCAATATATCATGTCATCTTCAGATCTGTACTATGGTGGCGAGGCATTAACCTTGGAACAACCGCAAGCATACACATGTCCATTCTGCAATAGGATGGGCTTCACTGACACAGCGCTCATGGAGCATGTTACCGCAGAACATGCGGATACGACATTGGCTGTAAGTTCTTCATATTTTATGTCATTTTGGAATTCCCTTCACAATTGGTTAATAATTCATTGTTGTTATTTATTAATTGTACTGATTTTACTTCTTCTATATGACAATAGAAGATACTATTGCCTCTTTTTGTTTCAGTGTGTATGAAATAGCAAATTGTATGATGTATTTAAATATTATTCTTTTGTGTTTTTTCTGTATTTTTTCTTCATAAGGACTTTCCTCTTTTGTCATCAAAGAAAAATTATTATAAAGATTTAAGTGGACTACATTGCAAGTTTTGCACTAGTATTATTTTAATTTAGTTGATGTATATTAAGTATGTAATTTTATCTTAGACTGCCTGCCACATTCTTAGTAGTTGTAAATGCGACTGCCCAGCAAGGAATTTTAGGGTCAATGGCTGGACAAAATAATACTTACTATAATTTCTTTCGAATTTTTGGAAATTTCTCAGCAAAGCATTGAGGAATTGCACCTAGTTATATGACAATAGTATTGCCCATTATTGCTCGAGATGCATTACATAATTAAGTGGGTGGTACTTTATTTACATGCACCTTCAATTGCATGTTTGGAAAGAAAAATCATTTATTCAGTATCAGGCATAGCATGATACATTAAAACATTATAAAAAAAAACAAAATACTACGTATAATAAAATTACAAACAAAAAACAAAGTTTGGGTATTAAAAAGCATGTTTTTATATTAGGCATGTAATTAATTTAATTTCTTTTGTGAAATCCTTTTTCTCAATTATGTTAACGTGTCATATCATGTGTTAACAGGTGGTGTGTCCAGTATGTGCTTCAATGCCTGGTGGGGAACCAAATTTTGTGACCGATGACTTTGCAGGACATCTTACCTTGGAACATAGGACTGGTCCTAGAGATCTCATTTCGTTTCTAATATCCTTTTCAATATAATAATATTTTTTTACAGAACTGTTACAAAATATAAATTCTATTATTGCCTAGGGTTAGACAGGAGAAATGTATAGCATACTTTCATTAGTTAATGTTACTAGTTTTTTAGTTATATCTTTCTACCGGCACCTTGGTCCACATGGAAATATGTATTAGAACGAAAACAGTACAGGTGTTACAGATTTTGAGCCTATTAAACTACCTTTTCTTCTTTGCTTTTTTATTTAGGTTTATTACTATAGATTGGATACTGCATTAAATGATAGAAATGGTAGAAATACACAGAATATCTAATTTTATGGGTAATAATGTACATATTTAATGAATATTTGCCTTAACAACTGTGCAAGATGAACCAAGCGGTATCAGGCACGGAGGAGTGCGACGTATGCCGCACTCCGGCCGCGGAGTGACTCGCGGGCGACGTACTAATATGCAATTTAGGTAATGTACATTTTTATACTATTTGTTTTCTCATGGTAGAGGCTTTCTTTCGAACCTTTAGACATACCTACCATCACGCATGTCTCCCGTGAAGCTAGTAGCATGGTTCTAGCATAGCATGATAGATTAACAGTATAACTTAATGGCGTAAGCTGCAATGCTATGTGTAAATCTGAATAAATAAATAAAACCATCTCCAGTCATCAATTTTGCCATGCATGCTTGTCTACATGGGGTGCTTTTGGATAGCTTATGGAAACAAAATCCTGTTATTTATGTTTTGTTTTGTTTTTGTAGCTAACATTCTCACGCAGCGTCGACTGAGTTACACGAATCATCAAGAATCCTTATCTAATCATTTAATCCTTCCTCAAGAATCACCTAACCCATGGTGGATACCACATAAATTTGTTCAGTAGTTTTTGAGTTTGATGCTTACAGACAAACGTGGCTGGGAATTTTGTTTTATATTATGTGTAAAAGATTTGATAAATACTAGGAACCTGCTCCGACTTTGGACGGCCCTTAATTTCATGGTGAATATTTTCTTTCGATCTAACTTTGCTCTTGGAATAATGACCATGACAAAGACGTTCCAATTCGGTGCAGTCGTTCAGTAGTTAGCTTACTGACATTTCACCGATTTATAAACGACTTCAAAAATAAAATATTAATATGCTCTAAAGGCAATACTATCTACGGAAATTATATCATAATTATACAATCGAATAAATTGTGTAGATAAAATACTACATTTAATCAACTGTAGATAAGTTGCCCTTTATAGTACTTAATAAGAAACATTTTTGTAACTTTCTTCTTATGTCTAACATTTACTCTTGTTATCTCCTGTTTATTTATTTATTTAGTGCACAATGTGCGTTTCACAGTAATTTGCAAGCAAAAAAACATCGCAATAAAATGCAATGCGTTGAGTAATTCCAGTATTAAGATAGATGAATAGATCTAAACGTAGAATACAGACAGTTTGAAGCGACATTTTTTTTATATAGATGTAGTGATGTCTAACTAAACTTACTAATACTAAACCTTTTAGTTAGTAATAGATAACTTAGTTTATAGTCTAGGGATGACGATAATCTTTTTAATGTTATATATTTAGAATGTTAAACACGTAATTTTTATTATTTCGAATCAAGTACCTAGAAAACAATGCTAACAAATTAATTACGAAAATAAAACTGTATTAGTATATAGTACTAACTTTTTCTTTTGTGCATGAGTCACTAATTTCTTTCAGTTTCAGGTCATTATGAAATGTATAGCCAATTATTTATTACGAAAGTTTTAGAATTTTATATATTAGATTTATTATATATTTTTTATACAAAACTGGCCAGAGACAACTCAAACAAACTATCACCACACTAGTACGATCACAGTATCACAATAGATTATAGAGCAAAGTAACATAAACAAGCACAACAACAAAGTAATGTAAACTTACATTTTACTAAACTTACATTAAACGACTGCACGTATAATATATAACTCGCGTATAATTAAAAATGAATACGATTCATCTGAAATTAATAGCCATGTCTATGCCAGCACCAGAAAAGTAAGTAGAGCAATATCTATAGAATCTAAGAAGTAGAGCACTTAATTGATACTTAACTAAATACCAATTAACCATTAACTAGCATCACTTATGACTAATTATGGAGAACTCAAGAAAAATATTCAGGATTTTACACTCACCTTGAAAATTTCTTTGTCTGTCTGTTAGTTGAGCAGCCCATTGACTTGACATTCATTTAGTTGTGCACAGAACATATTTCTTGTTTCAACTCAAATGAATATGGTATAATAGCTCAACTGACTTAGTTAAGTTTTAATAAAGCTATGTTACAGAACTATATAAGAATTAATTACAAACAGTATGTGTTAATGTAAATCAGTTGAGGGATAAAAACAAGAAGGTTTTTTATGCGTTCTTAGACAGAACAATATATGCTTTAGTATGTCTCACGAAAGTATAATATGATTTTGCAGATGATAAAAAAAATTCCAACCAGTCTCATATAGATAATAATTTATATAATTGTTTGCAGCACGGGCGGCGGCATTTCGTCGCTGTCGCCTTCGTCGCGCGACGCCGTCGTGGACCCCATCGCCGAGCTGCTCTCGCAACTGTCGGGAGTGCGGCGCGGCGCCGGCCAGCCCGGCACGCCCAGCCAACTGCAACAGCTACAGATGCAGCTGCAACTGGAGCGGCAGCAGGCCACGGTCAGACCTCCGCCATTTCTGTCTACTATACTGTACCGTACTGTGTAGAACATCGTATCCATTAACGTTCAATCCAATTTTATTAATTATAGTTTAATCATCGACAGGCGGCTCGACAACAGTTGGAGCGACTGCCTCGGCGCGCAGGCGGAGCGACCGGCGGAGCCAGCGGCAGCGCGCCCCCGCCCGCGCCGCAGCCTGCCGTAGCGCAGCCCCAACCACAACCCGAACCTAGCGATTCGCAGTTTCTCCTTTCTGGCTTCCTCGGTGAGTACGGCAATCGCAGACTTCCGTCGCTCCTCGTGACTCTGTCATAACGTCCCGATGTATGTGCAGGTGCCAGCGACAGTCAGGCGGGGCCCGAAGCGGAGAGCCGCGCGGCGCTGCTTCGAGGACTGGTGCTCGCGTCGCTGGGGCGTGCGGCGCCGGCGTGGCGGCCGCCCCCGCCAGCCGCGCCGCCCTCGCCGCCGGCGCAACGTGAGCCCGCGCCGCCCGCGCTGGCGGTGGCGGCGCGCGTGAAGCCGACGCCGCGCAGCAAGGTAGCGTGCCGGGGCGAGGCGGAGGCGGAGCGCGTGTGACGGCGCGGCTGACGCAGTGTGTGTGTGCAGGAGACGGCGCGCGCGGCGGCGGCGGCGGCGGCGCGGCTGCCGGAGCGCAGGTAGGAGCGGCGGCGGCCCGCCCGCCGTGCCCGCCACGGACGTCGGTGGACGAAACTGTTGGATGTTTACTCGTTAGATGTTACGGTAGTCCGCGAGGTACGCGCCGGAGGGTAAAGTTTGTGGCCGTCGATGTTGTTAGTGTTTATCCGTTGTAAATATGGAGTCGCGGGCGTGTCGCGAGCCCCGGCCGGAGACGCACCGTTACCTGGACTCGTTTCTTTGTTTTACGCTAACACTTATTAGTGGACGCTTTTGTTTGTTTTGTTGGCTTTCGAAATATCCGTGTGATTTCCTTTATCGTAGAGATTTAATAGTGATGGAATGTTTTAATCGATTTAACTACGATTAAATTTTAAAGAATAATGATATGCATAGGGCATCGTTATTAAATTATTATCGTACGAGAGGAGTCCTATTGAATTGCATTTGCATTAAGATTAGATAAGTTAAAATAATTCGCCGATTATTCAAAATTTATAATAAAATTTTGACAATGGTCAATCTTTAAAGTTTGACGTCGATTGTTTAGGGTCGTTATTAAATAATTAAGTATTGTATTTATCTTATATAAAGTGTAGGTATTGTTTTAATTTATTCAGCAACTTAACATATTTCACGGTAAACACTGACTCCTCTCTAAAGTTATTTTTATAAAGCAGTTGAGAACATACATACTTACCCACAAATTTTCACTAGCTACTCAAACAAAGTGCTTATTAGTTTGATTATTATACTCCAACATTACAAAATGTTTGTATGTACCCTAATTAAATTCTATAATATTATGCAATGTATTTCATTTACTAAATTAATAGCAACCAAGCCCACAAATTTGTTTTATTTCATCCATGTTGAGAATATCGCACTGGAACATGGACTTGTTACAAAATACTAAATTAATTTACTTAAAAAAGAACCATTGTTTGTAATGTAATGTCAAAAGAACTATATTGTCTACAATGTTGGAGTTTTATAGTAGATAATATTATTAATTAAGTTTATAACAGCAGCAGATGTGTCTAAAAGTATGAAATATTTTAAACTATCAGGCCCTAAGAACTAAGTGCACAACTGCACAGGTCCTTAGCATTCTGCTGAATGTCAGCTGAAAAATAACTATATATCGAATGACACACCTAAATTATCTACTGGATATTGAATAATCTAAGCTTAAAGCATTATATTAGCTTCTAGATTGCTGAAAAACAATGTTGTTTTCATAACATTCTAAACGTGATTTTCCTAGTGTATCCTATTTATTATGTTAGAACAAAAAATATTTGTTAAGTACAAAATCACCGATCTATTCAAAAAAATTATCTAATTATGTCGCTTAACTAGCATAGTTTTATTTTATGGTTTATATTTCGTATTAATAAAATATTTATTTCAAGAAAAGAATCATGAAATATTTTTAGTGATGACAACATTTTATGTAGTTTATTTGACAGTTGAATACTTGACGCTGTCACTGGTCACTGACGTAAAGGTGGAATAATGCTGAAATTGTAAATAACTGCAATGTGAGGTTGTTCATAAAAAAAAAACATATTATCTATTAGGAATAAGGCTTAAACGTAATCTGGACTAATTTATTTACAATATGGCAAGTGATGAACATAAAATACTTTCAGACTACATAAAAAGTGTCCATTTATCACTTAGGAAATCAAGTTCCAAACTAGGAGCTGACACAGCATGGCAGGAACATTGTCGTAACGTAGACACTCTATCAAAATATGCAGAATGTATGCAGAAATTAGCCACTACACATTGGGAAACTAACTGTAACAATGATACAAGCGAAGCAACTTCTAGAATTAAATGGGGAGTTGAGTTCTGCCATGACTATTTTAATAACCATTTGTATAAGAAGTACCGTGATAAAGAGTTGGGAATTTCTCAGAGTATAGGTCTACAAGTAGATCTTGAAGAATCATTCTCTGAACCCATTAAACTACTTGATGTTGGTAGTTGCTATAATCCTTTCAAAGTCTACAACATGTTTGATGTAATAGCAATAGATTTGTGCCCTGCTAATTCTTCTGTTCTTCAATGTGACTTTTTAAATGTAGAAATTGGAAACTGTCACACAATAAAGGATTTGACTGCTACTCAACTCCAGCATGAGTCGTTTGATGTTATAACCTTTTGCTTTCTCCTTGAGTACATACCTACATCTGAGTTGAGAATCGCAGCATGTGAGAAGGCTTACAAACTTGTAAAACCTGGTGGCATCCTTATAATAAATACTCCTGATTCTAAGCATGTTGGAGCAAATAGCAAGATTATGAAATGCTGGAGATACACACTGGCTCAAATAGGTTTTAATAGAATTAAGTATGAAAAAGCTAAATTTATGCATTGTATGGTGTTTAGAAAATCATTGAACAAAGAAATTGCTCAACGATGGGCATTTTTGTACAAAGAACCTTATATGCAATATGCAATCCACATACCTCAAGATTCCAATATTTTAGATGATGAAGAGTTAGACACAACAACACAACACATAAATGAAGATTCTATTCTAGATGATTTTCAAGAATTGCCTTTCCATTAAAAATAATACATCATAATTTTAATCAAATTTTATTCACCCTTAAAGTAAACAATTACAGCTAAATGTTAACCTTAAATATAATCTTAATTGACTAATGTATGTCAGTAAATTATAAGTGATAGAACATGGACTCATCACTTACTTAGTGACATTTTCACCTTGTCACTAAAGGTAATATCAGACAGTTCATTTTTACCTTTCATTCAGCTTCTTTCACTCAAAATGATGTCTTTACTCAAAATAAAACAAGAGTGCAGAATTAATTCATTAATAAACTGATCCATTGTGGTTTGTTGTATTTTGGCATTCAGCATCATTCACTCCCACTGTGAATGAAAAAAATTAACTATCTTCACACAGAGACATAGTGAATGTTTACTCTGATTTGGTTAAACGATCATAAATGAAACTGATTCCAAGACACATAACATCACCTGATGACATGTTATAACCCATTGAGCGTCCGCGTTCCTTATGATCCAACGGGAGCACAAGTGACATGAGCATTTTTTCTTATGATCCACCGGGTGCTCATAAGGACGCTCGAGGGGTTAAAAAAGAAGATGAAATGATAATTTCTTTACATTGCACTAAAGTAGTCTAAACATGGGTTGAATGTTATAAATATTCAAATGAATATTCATTTGAATGAACCGTCTGATATCACATTTACTAACAACTTTTATTTGAAAAAACAAAATTATACTAGGTAGTACTTTCATTAACATTTTGGTCATCAAATGTCAATATCTGCAGCAAGTACACAATAGAACCATCAGCTTTTTATGTTAGTAATTAGTAATTACAGTAGCTGTTTCACTTTCATTTTTATGCTGATCCTCCAAATTTAGCTTTCCGTTTAGCCAATTTTTCTTGGTTTTCTATATCAGTCATAATTTTAGAGACAGACTGTCCAAACCTTTCAGCCCTTTTCTTGAATTTTTCTAAATTCACAGATGTGCCTGAGTTTGAGATGGCTGTACTCTTAGCTGATACAGTTTGACCAAATCTTTGTTTACGGGCTTCTTTTCTCTCATCTTCACTCATTTTTACTGGTAAACCAAATCGTTTTGCCCTCATTTCCAACCGTGTTTTAGTATCTAAATCTGCCGTAATTTTAATTTTATTACTTGTGGGATTTATCTCGGCCTCTGCTGCATCTTTGTCTTCAACAGACTTTTCAGAAGTAGATGTTATAGATATAGCTCTGTTTAACACAATCTTTTTAGAGGCAGACTCTTTACTTTCTGTTGATTTATTATCTTCAGTTTTATCTTTAGATACATCTGTTGAGGTTATTCTCCTTTTGAGGGTTCGAGGCGGTTTAGCTTCTGGCGTGGTTTTTACGGGAGATGGCTGTTCAGAAAGCGCTAACTCTTCATTCAACGTATCTACAGCATTGTCATCGAGTATATCACCTTGGCTTTTATCATCTTCATCCTCTAGAACACCATCAGAGTCAATTTCATCAGAATCCAAATTGATGTCGCCGTGTTCATCTTGAGACATTGCAGCTTGAAGTCGAGCTACTAACTCCGCTTTATCCCCCGTATATGAAAGTCCGCGGGACTTTAATTCCTTGCGCAAATCGACCACTTTCATTTTAGTGACATCTGTTACGGTAGAATCTGCCATTGCGATAGAAACAACAACTGAATTTCCTATAAAAATACAATTCACAAAAATTATAGTACGGTACGGGCACGGCGGCAAACCATAGATAATAAATAAAAGTAAAAATTGACAAGTGATTGAATCTGACATTCGCGTTCAATGACAATTTATCTTTTTTACATGTAATCATAGAGTTTTAATGGAAAGTGTAATTTTATTTATTTATTCCACTTACATTCATCTTTACAGGTTAATGCCGAATGCGATAAATGCTCTCATCTTAACATTTATAGCATAATGACGGGCCAAGTCATGCGGAAAACCGGGGCTCCGGCTCGAATTTCGAGCCCACGAAAACCACCCAGTTCCTTTTCCTGCACTTCGAGGCTCGAAATGCAGGAAAAGGAACGGGGTGGTTTTTAATCAGTAAGAGTCCGACACTCACTCCCTTTCGCTTTACCCAGGCGGGAGAAGTTATTCGATGATTTTCCCCTCTTAAAAAAAAGTCATGCGACAGATGTCCTTCGTGTCAATGTGTGAGTAATCTGCGTGTAACCAGATGCCACCGTCGTTGTTTTATTTAAGAAACTATGTCTGCCTTTATTTTAACGCCCTTGGCATATTTGATCCTTGAATACAAAGTGTTGCACTTTGTAATGCTGAGCTGTCTCGAGCGAGTGTCACCACACGTCTCGAATGTCAGTCCGTTAAATTTGACAGTTCTACAAACGTCAATCCGACGACGTTTCCTCATAATAGATTATTAAATGGCAGACAGAATGTGGATTGTTTTTTTGAAAGCCGGTTTTTGCAAAAACTAATATTTAAAATAATTAAGTGACTCTACAAATGTTCAAAAATTAATGACTGTGTAATATTGTTAAAAATGGATGTGCAAACATCAGATCATGATTTGTTTGTTGAACAATTTTTATTAGAAGATGAAAGTAATACTATGCCATTACCAGATATTGAATCTGATCCCCAACTTTTAATTTCGAAGGTAAGAAGTACACTTTCAGGTGCAAACTTAAATATAATGAGATATCTTATCAAATTCTAATTAAATAATTATTTTGACAGGTTCGTAAATACTACATGGAGTATATTATAAGACTTCTCTCAACTAACTATGAAACACATCAAAAATTAGTCAACAAAAACATATATCTTCCTAGTGCCATATGGAGGTGTGCTAAAAAATTAGAAGCTACTGCAGCCCAAGCTTGTATGGTGGTACAAATATACCGGAAAAATATTATTTCAGTGGTAAGTAGTACTGCCTTTTATTGCCTCAATGTATCACACAATTAATATATGTGAAGTCATACTACAGTGTGTATCTATATTCCAGATAGAGGAGTTGAAAAGAGATACAAATAAAGGAAAATTAAATAAAAAATTATATAATTGTCTTAATAAACCACCAGAAAACAGTAAAAAAACTCAAACACCAAGCACATTTATAAATAATAATTGTCAATGTGCCTATAGTAAACGTAAAAGACACGGAATGTCTGAATCACCAAAAAATTTTGAAAAGCAAATGTCTAATATAAGTGATAAAATTATTAATAACGGTAACAGTATGTCTACTACAACTTATGTGTCTATTAATACTCCTTGCCCCATGCAGACAGAAAGTGAAACAGTAACTCAAGTTACCAGTTCCACAACAATGCCCATGCTCAGCAAAAGAATGTCAGTTGAATCTCAAGATTCTGACGAGTTAATGATGCAGCTAGAAAAACTCTTCCAAGGAGACACCAATGATGACAATGACTTATTTGATAGTGCACTTTTATTCGAAAGTAAAACAGAGACAGTTCAAGAAGATCATACTAAAATAAGTTCTAATGTAGTGGATAGCAATCTTAATAACAACCAGGATTCCATTATTGAAAATCATGCTGCCCAAATAAAATCTTTAGATGAGAGGCTTGCTAACTTAGCAGGACTATTGGTAGCCAATGATCTTCCAGTACAAAAGACTGAAGTACAAAAACAGAGAAGAAGAGTAACAAGCAAATGGATATGTGAAGAATATTTCTTAAAACAAAAGTTACATGATTTGCTGGACCAAATTGGTGACAGAGATAGAAAAGAACTAGAAAAGGTGGGTTCTGTTTTAGTATACTATGCTTTAATTAAATCAAAATGTAATATGTCCATTGATTTGATACTACATACTTATCTTTAAAAATAATTTTTTAACAAAATATTCATGTAACAATATAGTAACAATAACCTACACTGTTTTACTTGTATCTGTATTCTAGTATTTCAGAAGTTACTAATTATTATTAGTTCCTTATAGATAAAGCAAAAATTTGTGCAATTATTTGGGGCTGACAGTGATGAAGAAGAAATTTTGTCTCCTTTAGATGAGACAAATGAGTTTATCACCAGTTGTAAAGAAAGAATAGCACCATGGGTGGTGAAACTTCTAACGCCTTATTATGTTAAGGGCCATATTAAGGGAAAATCAATATTTAAGGCTCTGGCTAAACATTTAATAAGGCTTATTTATCAGTGTAGCAGATATCCAGGTATTTTATTATTACCAATGAGCATTTTTAAATGAAATGTTACTTTAGTATTGTTATAAATTTAATTATTTTAAATTACAGAACAGTATGAGGTAACCAGTTTCGTGTCGGATTTCTTGAAAAACCACAAAACAATAAGGTGTGAGGCAGACTTTAAAGAATTCAGGATTGAAAATATTTAAGTGTATTTTTGTACTTACATATCTTTGTTCTCTCTGTAAAAAGTGGCCTACAAATTACAATTATTGATATGCTTCTAAACAGCCAAAATTTTTCTGCAACATTAAACATTATTAACTAAACTATGCAATATTGCAGCTATATCCTAAAGATTTATTTTAACTTTTATGTGACTGTGCCATTAGTTTACATAAATTATTAATTGCAAAAAAATATTGGTCATTTAGAAGCCCCTTTTGTATTATTAAGTAAATCTAACACCAAAATGACCAATCAGCCTATTTAACATGAGTGAATCACATTATTTTTGGCAGATTTATTGAGTGCCTTAATGATTTAAGCAACTCAAAATGATAGTAACATAAAAATAATTGTAGAAGGCTGTATTGGCTAGCTAATGGATACATATAGCAAAAGTTGTGATTTTAAAGCTTGTGATAGACAACTTACTCCAAGGAGTTAAAAAATAAATGTGATTATTACATTTATCGCATTTTTATTCAAGTTTTCGACTTTTTGGGGTCTGAATCACTGCAATCAGTTGATTTCCTCTTTTCAGCTTTAACAAACCAAGATTGTAGTGTCTTTTGTGTTTTTTTCTTACTCTTATCTTCTTCGAATATTTTCTTATTACAATCAGTACTTTTATTTCTTGAATTGTTAACTACAGTTGAAACTGGATGCCACGATAATAGTCTTATAGGTTTAAGATAGCCCAGTGCCATGTCAGGCTTAACATTGTCTATGTCTAGCCATGCCTGAGAATACAATAGCAAGTTAGAATATAAATATACACATAAATAGTTCAGATTTACATGTTGTACAGCATTATACATTAAACAAGATATACCTCTATTTGTTCATCACTGTCCAATATAGCAGGCATTCTGTGATGCAGCCAATCTAATGTTTCATTGGACTCCATTGTGATGACAGAATATGAATAAATTATTGTTTCTTCGTTTTGCCAGATGTGGTACAATCCAGCCATATAGAGAAGATTTATTCCTTCCCAACCCATATTTTCATCAAAGTTGTTATGCCATGTATCAGGTTCATCAATCTGTAATTTTGAAACATAGGTACATTGCATTTTATTATTCTTGGGAGATCAAACATTGGACCTGGTTGCCTTTTTGTGAAAGTAGTTGTATGAGAAACTTATTAGTTCATGGTCAGATTTGCTTCCCAAGGTATATTTGGGTATTAAGTAAGTATAATATAAAAATTACTGACCACCAAACTAAAGACTGCCGGGCAAGGGGTCTCGGGGCGTGCGTTACCCCAACAAGAAAGTATCTCCTAGAGATATATGAGTAGAACGTATAGTTGGTGCCTTATCTGCTGTAAATGTGCCCCCACTTAAAAAATGTGTGCCCCCTGTCGTTTTGAAAAAAAAAACGGAAAAACGATTCTTGCTGGGGTAACGTTTTTCTAGCAGGAAAATTCTAAACGAGTGATCGGAGAGAAAAAAAATGTGCATGGCCAGAGAGCTTATATGTGTGCCACTATGTGCCCCCAAAAATAAAATCTGTGCCCCTTCAGATTTTCGGGATATTGCGTTTCCTGCTGGAGTAACGTTTTGATGAATCGTATATCTCTAAAACCATTGCATGTGCCCCTGTAGAATAAACATTCACAAGTAGCTCTTAATGTGTGCCTCTGTGTGCTCTAATTAGATTTAAGGAAATATTTATAGTTTTCAAGTTATCGCGGTTTTATGAAAATCCGAAAAAACATCGCAGCGCCTAAATGAGACAAGGTATAAGTTCGCTGAAAACTGTATTCGGTCCTTCTTGATGCTAATAATAACCTTACAAAGTTTCAAAACGCTTCATGCATGCGTTTTTGAATAATCTTGCTACAAGTCAAGACGATGGTGTCATAACTTTGACGGCAAAATACAAGGAACTGGCTAAATCCCAGATGTGTAGATGTAAACCAAAATCATGTGCCTTTAATCAAAAATATGTGGTGAAAATATTGAGCTTGGAATGTTTCGCATTAAGTAAATATGAACAAAAAACCGAATTAAGTAAACAACGGCTGGTTATCCGACCAAATTTGAATGACTACTAAAAAGCGACGGATTCATACATATCGATGACCTTCTTTATTTTACTTACTAACCGGTTCACACGTGTTGTGCCTGAGTACACTGAAGTAAAAGTAATAATAATAAAATAAAGTTGTTATTGGATTATGTTCTACTAGTGAATAATAGGTACAAAGTGTTTATTGACTAGGAAGTGCGTTTAGATTATTTATTTTTATTGGTAAACAGTTGCAGTTATGTAATGACGCCAAGGACACTGTTATATTGAGTCACGCAGTTGCACTGATACTGTTTGTATACTTTTTGTTTTTTTACTTACTGCGGTGGTAAGTATTTAATATCTTTATTTTGACTTATTTACAAATACTTGTACCTTATGAAATAGTTAGCTTATTTGTTTCTGCTATAAGACAAAGAGTTTGCTCTAATAGTATGTGCATAAGTCATGCAGATGAAAACAAATTGTACAATTGCAAGTATTTGCCGTTGAACTTAGATATAATAAATATTAAAGATATCAACCACCTACAAGAAGCTTGCGAAGCATGTTTAAGAACAGAATTTACTCCAGAGTGTCATATTTGTTGCGCCGGAAATATATCCTTCAGATACAATGTTAAAGATATTATCATTTATGAACTTCATGACGTTTGCGTCAAGTTGGATGATCTGCCTCGTAACATTGAAGTAAATAATAAGGAGTACACAATTCTGTCTGCAATAGAATATGAACCCGCTTCGAAACTCAATAGTGTTGGACATTACAGGGCTCACTGCTACAGAAAAAATAGTAATTTATTTGAATGTTATGATGACTTATATGGTAAAATCCAACGAAGTGGGAAATATAATATTATGCCACATGTAATAGTCTACACAGTAGAATAGACAAAATTGTACAGGGTTAAAATGAATGCTCCAGAGTAGCCCGCGAAATACAAATTTTCTTATGTCTTTTGGAAGTTTAGTTTAGTTTAAGTTAAGTTTTTTTTTCTTAAATTAAGGGAAGAAAAATAATAATTTCCACATCAACAAGCTGTTTCATTAATATAGTCACAAGCCGCATTTAATATATTTTTTAATTAGCCCCCAAAACTTTTGAACGCAACTGCACGGACAACAGCTTAGGTATAATACGTCCAATAAAGAAGGTCATCGATATGTATGAATCCGTCGCTTTTTAGTAGTCATTCAAATTTGGTCGGATAACCAGCCGTTGTTTACTTAATTCGGTTTTTTGTTCATATTTACTTAATGCGAAACATTCCAAGCTCAATATTTTCACCACATATTTTTGATTAAAGGCACATGATTTTGGTTTACATCTACACATCTGGGATTTAGCCAGTTCCTTGTATTTTGCCGTCAAAGTTATGACACCATCGTCTTGACTTGTAGCAAGATTATTCAAAAACGCATGCATGAAGCGTTTTGAAACTTTGTAAGGTTATTATTAGCATCAAGAAGGACCGAATACAGTTTTCAGCGAACTTATACCTTGTCTCATTTAGGCGCTGCGATGTTTTTTCGGATTTTCATAAAACCGCGATAACTTGAAAACTATAAATATTTCCTTAAATCTAATTAGAGCACACAGAGGCACACATTAAGAGCTACTTGTGAATGTTTATTCTACAGGGGCACATGCAATGGTTTTAGAGATATACGATTCATCAAAACGTTACTCCAGCAGGAAACGCAATATCCCGAAAATCTGAAGGGGCACAGATTTTATTTTTGGGGGCACATAGTGGCACACATATAAGCTCTCTGGCCATGCACATTTTTTTTCTCTCCGATCACTCGTTTAGAATTTTCCTGCTAGAAAAACGTTACCCCAGCAAGAATCGTTTTTCCGTTTTTTTTTTCAAAACGACAGGGGGCACACATTTTTTAAGTGGGGGCACATTTACAGCAGATAAGGCACCAACTATACGTTCTACTCATATATCTCTAGGAGATACTTTCTTGTTGGGGTAACGCACGCGGTCTCGGGTTCGATTCCCGGGTCAGGCAAAATATTACTGGATGTTTTTCAATAAATCTCAGTAGTAGCACGGAATCTGGAAATGTGCCCGGTATATGGCAATAGGCTCACCCCCTATTACATGGAACTCATAACATAAAATAGTGGTAACATTGTACAGCGGCAGAAGCATTAAACTGTCAAACATCGTGAGGACACCAGTGACCGCAACCTATTGTTCTATAATTGTGTCTATAATGACGGTACTCAAAGGGTTAAGAGCCATAATGTGCACCTCTGCCTACCCCTTCGAGGATAAAAGGCGTGGGGTTATGTTATGATATAAAAATTCTCATGAACTTTTTTTATTACCACAACAGTGACCAAAAAGAAGAAAACAACATGTGCCTTGCTGACTCTTAAAAAAAAAATTTAATCTACTAGGAAAATTTTGGCAGAGCAACAACTCATCTCTAGTTACATCAGATGTGATATTCTCCATTATTTTTTTGTAAAAATAAAAGAAAAAAAGATATTAACCTTTACACCATCCTTCTGAGGAGCATAAATATAATATGGTTGTTTCACTTTAGAAAACTTGTTGGTGGTCTGCCATTCATAGAATCCTTCTGCGACTATTATACATCTACCTCCACTGCTCAGTATTGGACTGTATAGTTTGGAACTTTTTATATTTTCAAGACGACAGTTGTTAGTACTTAGGTTATGAGTTTTATAGTCCCCCTAAAAACACTAGCATTAAGTAATCAAGACATTATAACGAAATAAAAGATGTGAAAATGTTTTTGTTCCATACTTTGTGCCATGGTGGTATAATACCCCACATCATGGGTTTTAAGACTCTGTCGCAGTCTACAACATTACGGAATCTACTAGAAGAGACCAGAACTGGAGTTACATCAGTTGGAGCAATATTGTATGAAGGCACATAGTCTTTCCCTGCATTGAACTCTGGAAGCCATTCCGGTTTAATATAATGATTATCATTTTTAGATTTGTAACTGCAAGCGCACTGTACTTTATCCTTTTGTAATGACCTGAAAAACATGTAGAAAGGATACTTTAAAATTTAAGTTTCATACAATATGGTGTAAGTAGTTTTATTGATAATTTATCATACAATCCAGTACGACCACACATTCTTGTTATTATTACAACAAACTATTTTATGTATGTCTGGCTTCTCAATAAAGTTATAAGTTTCCTCGTCTTTAATACAAACAAGAAAGAAGAACACAAAACAATGTCATTCCGAAAACAGTTTAGTTTTTATGTTTTTAAGTTTTCAGTGACAGTTGTCCAGTAAGTAGGTACCAAAGACAAAAAGTTTCAACGATTGAATTGACATGACAGGACACAGATTATTATATTCTAGAGTAATGAATAATATGAATTAAATGAAAATATTTAAAATGTAAATAAATAAATATTTACTATATAAGTAAAGGAAGAAATTATGTTTACTATATAAGTCAGGTATTCATAAATTCATATGAACCTACAGCATAAAAATAGTGGGTTTGACAGAAACGTCCTCGACAGAAACATTCAGGGTGTTTTTGAAAGAGTTTGTTTATTTTTAATCTGTGTAGAATATTCTACAATTGTACGATAATTATTTTTAGTCTATGGATTACATTATCACTCGAGAGTGTGGTGTTTTGAAGCGGATTGTAATTTTCCTTATTATTTCCTCAAAAAGCTTGAAAAAGTTCCAAGCCTTTTAGTTTCCTTACCATATTTATGTGTAAAATCAATATATATATTCACATTTCAATTCCAATAATGGAGTTTCTATAGTGAATTAGATCTCATGGAGTGCCGATATCAATCTATCTTTTTCGAAAATATGTGGAAATATGTCACGCGGAGGTTTCGGGATACGTTGGAGCGGGGTGCTAATCAATTCGATAGATGCAGCTCCACCGTAGTCGGTAATGGTGCTGTCAATTTTTGTGAGGAGAAAAATGACAGTCCACCTTGGTGGCTATCAATGCGTAGTTCTGAATCCTATCAGAACGAGAATGAGCCAAACCATCAGGAATGGAGCCCCGAACATCAAGACAGAAATTGGATGGGTGCCATTACATGGGTATGTTTTCAATGCATTTGGCAAGTTTATTTTTATCGCTGACATAACACATTTATCTAAAAAACAGATTGGTCTGTTATCTGAAAGAAGAAGTCAGTACTCATAGTATTAGTATTGTTTTTATTTTTGACTTCTTTGTGTAGAAGATACTGATAATTTGTGAACAGTAATCACAAGTAGGCTAGCTTGTTTAGAAAACCATTGCAAATATTTGCATAGCATCTTCCATATTGGTGATGTCATCCTGTTTTGGAAAGCCAAACTATTCCTAAATACTTTGAAACTTAAATAACATTTGGATAAGTTATTCCTTCAAACTTGAAACATAGTGATTGTATTATAATTAGAATGATGGTCTCAACTTATTTGTAACACATTATTGCTTATTTATTTCCAATATCAACATTAATTTTATTGTCCTTGAAAGTGTTTATTTTAAAAACAAGTTTGTTAACTTTTTGTCTGACAGATAAGTTATTAGTTATACCGAAAGTTTTCTATTGTAGTCTAAAATAAATCATACAAAGAAGTTATCTTGTCAATGTAAATAAATAAAGCCAATCTAAACTAGTTTTAATGAGATAAAATTGGCTTTTCCATATCATTTCCCCTTCCAGCTTCTATTACCACTTTTCATTTATATATTCTAATTTCTTTTAACTCAATTTATAAACTGAATGCATAATCAAAAGTGAAAATTGAAACAATGTGATAACTATTTGAATATTATTCAAAAGTTATAATATGATCCCAGAGTAAATACTTTCATAGTTCTGTACACTAAATATTTAAATTTATATTTAGTACACACTTAGCATACCTACTTACTTCATATTTTTAGAAAATCACAAGGAAAATGTATATTGTTCTGTACATATTCATATTATTGTTCATCAAAATAATAATGCACATAGTCGCATCATAAATAATATTAAAATTACTAGTAATAATGGTTTTCATAGTTAATAATAATAATAGTTAACTGGGACCATTCATCTGAAATGTCACTACATTATTATGAAATAGGCCATGTGTTACATGTCCTCAAGCCTCCTGTATGTTATCAAACTTGGCTAACATTGTGCTAAATTATGAAATGACTATTGAAAAATGTAACTGTCATTCAAAATGAATTATTTACAACTAGCTTTTACCCACGGCTTCGCTCGGGTCACAGAAGTATAAAAAGTAGCCTATGTGACATATACCAATATATACAGCACCATCTATACCAATAATTTCGTTTTCCCTCGAGAATATCAATTTTTTCCAGGATGAAAAGTACCCTATTATTTAATCCAGACTTGTAACTTCACATCTGCAAAAATTCAAAGCAATGGGTTCAGTAGTTACGGCGTGATAGTGGAACAAACAAACTCACTTTCCGATTTATAATATTAGTAAGGATATACTGAGGCTCTGAATGTCTCTAAAATGACTATCTCATAATTAGTATTTTTGAGAATTAATTGATTCATATTATTTTCATATCATTTTTTTTACACCATTCATCCATCCTTCCTTTAGTTAGTACTACATTTATCAACCCTTTCATTTGTTACAGAATTATATTATGGTTTTTATAATATAGTTTATTAACTTAAAGTATATAACTATCATGTGATCAATATTTTTTAGGAAAATGGTGTGAACATAAGTGAAAACCCGGAGATACATGCTGGCCCACCCTGCAAGTGGCTTGCACTCCGCAAAAGATTTGAGTCCCACCAAGATGACAATGGTCCAAATGACCACAAGTGGAACTTTGGACATGGAGATGGGCCATGGTCGTGGGGAGGCAAGCCATGGGTATTAATTCTTTTATATCATAATTCTTTACAGATCTAGTAAGGCCTATAAAGATGAAAACCTTTTCAAAGTAAAGGTTTGACGCTAGTGATAAATATGCCTCGTAGCTTATTATAAAGTAATTAATTCTTTCAGGAACATGGTGCTGAAAAAGGAGATGAAAACAATGTGAAGAAGCCAGGGCCTCCCTCTAAATGGCGTGGATTCCGTTGCAAGTCTTTCCAGAAAGGGGAAGGTCCAGATGCCGAGAAATGGAGGGAACATAGAGCTAGAATTGCCAAGATGTGGATGGATCCCAAAAAATGGGTTTGTTTATCAATTAATCAATTTTTGTGAAAGAAGTATTTGCTGTTTGGTAGTTCTAATATTATTACATTTTTTTTTGTCTCAAATATGTTCCTAGTTTGGTTTTCATTGCAGCATGAAAGATGCTTAAATACTTAATATTGTATTGTTTTTCCATCATTATGCATAGTTATAATATACTGTGTGTGCAATGTGCATGGCCCAATAATTTTGGTCAAATTATATTGTTTTTTGTTATTACTATCATTGTTATTGGCTTATCTTCTTCATACTAAAGTTAATTCATTCTGTCTTAATTCACTGGGGGTTGGCACATTTTTCATTTTTATGTAACCGGATACAGAATGAAGAATCATATTGTCCTTTCCTAAAGTACTTATTCTCTTCTGTCATCATTCACATACTTTAAAGAAAGATACAACTTTCTTCATCCTCTAACCAACCTTACATGAAACTATTTTTGAAATATGGTTTTAATTAGAATTTTTAATTACTTTCACTATTCTCATTAATAACTCAAGTTGTATATTTGAGTTCCATCTTTAACACAACCCTTTTACCATATAGTCTTTCATTTTCACAATTTAATTGAACCAATCCAAATCATATTAAAATAATTTGTAGGAAAATCGCATGAAAGAACTTCATGAGAGAGATGAGAAACATGTTGGTCCACCTCGTAAGTGGCATGCACTTCGCTGTCAAACATACCAAAACGAGAATGAAATGAAATGGAGCATTGACCACCCAGAGAAAACTTGGATGAGTCCCAGATCATTGGTTTGTTTTGTTTGATACTATACCAATAGGAAGATAAGCCAGCTCTGCATGCGGATCCTAATCTATTTTTTATCTAATCTGAGTATACTAGCTGACACATCATTTTGATGCTTGAAATGATAATGGCTGCTATATTTTAACATGTTTTACATTATGTAAATATGTATATACTTTATATATAGATTGCTTGAGGATCAATATTATGTATGTATATTGCATGAAATAATGTTGCATGATTCAATGAGAAGCATTGAATAAATAATATTTAAATATATTAATTCTTTCAGGATAATCAATTGGAAACAGTAAAGGAAAATAATGAAGAAAATCCATCGAGTAAGTGGCTCCAACTTCGCAAATGCTGCAAATCGTACAACGATGATAAAGGCACTAACAGCAACAAATGGGGCTTCCAACACTTGAACAAGACTTGGGTGGATGCTATAACATGGGTATGTTGATTGCCAGGCTATCCTCATGTAATGAAGGTTCAGTGACCTGCAACAACTCTAGTCATGTACCTAATTAGCTATTCAAACAAAAATGAGGAACAGTAAAATGAGACCTACTAAGAAGGCAGAAAATTCTGATCATAAACATTTCTGTTCCTATCAATAAAATTTTATACCTATGGAAATAGACTTCCAAGATTGTAATAATGTTAATATCTTAAACAAACAAGCTCAAATATACTGTCTCTTATATCTTGGAAGAGTGCTAATTGTCTTATTGACAAAAATGTAATCAAGCACAATGTTATGACAAATTATGATATGTTTTTACAGAGTGGTGCAGCAGTTTTGGGATGGTATACTAGTCAAATTATACATTTTAAAGTGAAGCAACATTGCAGGATTCTTGACATTCAAGAGAAAGCATGCGCCCCTGTTAACAACTTGGTGAATTCTGTCCAGCCATTCTTATCAAGTGTAAACAAAAATGACTTTTACATTGAATCCATTTCCAAAATTGGGAAAATGTTCTCTGAATTTACTCCCACTGTATATTTGATGCCTAATGACAGTGAGAAAGATTTCAAAGACTTGCCTAAAGTTTCAATCAAAGAGAATGTATCTGAGAAAACTAGTGTAACAAGAACTCTCAGTAATTCTAGCTCTGAAACATCTGATGATGACTTGGGTGATGTGCTGAATTCCATTGAAAATAGACTCGGCTTAGCGGCGATTGAGAGTGGACACTATCAAGATGGACTAAGTTTACTAAGGTAATTATTTGAAAGACTACAAAAGATACCACTAGTATTTTGTAATTATTTTAAGAACAGTCAACGTTTCGGCACTCATTTATGTCTTTTTTCGATAGGAGATTGATTTTAAGTTTGATCCTAATGACACAAAAGGCTTGTAGATTTTTGATTTACAAATCTCTTAAGTAGTACAAAAAATGACTTCCCAATAAGCCAATATAATGTATGACACTATTAATAACGCTTTGTGGGTATCACATTTAATACATACAACTCTGTCTACAACTTGAGGCAGGCAATACTTAAGCACAGTGAGAGTGGCAAATATTGGCGTTTTGGATTATAATATTGGGTAGCATGCTTTTATTTGAACATTGTGAAAGCACATTAATTTTTTATCATGTCTATTTTCATAACGCCATTATTTTGGAATTGTTGAATTTTACTATAAAACAAAATATTGTCTTGTTTTCCAGATCTGCAGCTGAACGTAACCATGCTCCAGCCATTTACAATTTAGGGTTGTGCTATGAAAAGGGATTAGGTGTAACTGCTAATGAAAAAACGGTAAGTTAAAATAGATAACTAGTGTAATATTAAAGATGACGAATCCAATTTGGAACTTTATTTTCAATAGTCGCCTTTGTAAAGTAATCAATTTGTTTTAAATTGTATGTTAATTTTCCAGGCAATGGAGCTATACAAGTCGGCCGCCTCACTGGATCACCCTGAAGCCCTGTACAATCTGGGCATTTACTACGGACAGGGTCGAGGCGGGCTCAAAGCTGATCAGGAAACTGCGATACGTTTGCTACGTCTCGCCGCAGTGCAGGGACAACAGGCTGCAGTCGAGGCTCTGAAGTATCTCAACGTGAGTATTTCTGAGCCGCGACACAAAGACGTGAACACATGGACTTATGACAAACATTCAGATTTTACAACAAACCCACATGTCCCAACACCAAGCGGAATGTTTGTCGAAAATATAAATTACCTGCAGGCAGCAGTGTGAAGCTGCGATGGCATTTTTTGTATTTTAAGTTGGTGGTGGATGATTTTGTATCGCGTACATACACCTTAATTAGTTGCTAAGTTACAATACACGCAAAGCGTGATTATACCAAGTAATTAAATTACATAGTCTTTAAAAAGGGTGGTGTCACATTGTATTTTGTAAGACGGAATGTTTAAATTACTTATTATCCCTTTAGTTTCTTCTTTTGATGTATCAATGTTGTTTTACAATAATTTTTATAATTCTATTTTAAAAGCAGAATGTTAATTTGTTGCTGTAATATTTTATTAGACAGATAAAGAAAAAGGTTGGTTGGAAATCGTTGACAAACACCTACTTTACCATTTTATGAAATGCTTTCAGTGATCAAATTAAATTATTACAACATATTAAAATTAAGTCTTATTTCGGTCGCGAGGTGCGGATTGACCCGTACGTACTCACTCAGCGTCCAACATTTATAACAGATAAGCTTGCATGATGTGTAGACCACAAACCTCGTCACTTCGGTGTTACTCTAGGATTCGTAAAATTGTACTTGAATGAAAGATCTACGTGATACTTCGCCAAGTTCTCAATAATACATACAACAAAGTATTCATGTTTTCAAAAGCTGTTCTAAATAACGAGCGATAAGGCGGTACGCTCGTTATTTAATTATGCCGACGAGACTAACTCAATCTTGTTTTTCCTATGTATGCAACTGCAATCAACTGGTCTTTGCGACGCATAAGGATCAACACTGCGTTTATCGCGACTTGTACAAATAAATTCGAATCAATTCATTCATCTTTAAAGTTCATGTAAAAACTGAAAAGGTGTAAATGTTTTTGGTAGAAACTTATCTTTCTTCTCTCGTGTCGACTTCAGAATTTGATAAGCAGTCGCAGAGACAAGAAGAATTAAGTTAAACTGCCGAGTATGTTTGTGTGGTCAGCCATACTAAAATATTGGTAGCTACCAAACTTTACTACTTTTTCTAGTTGGTTATTATGGAGAAAAAGACATCTTTAAAACATCTTGAATAAATGAGTTACTTTTTAAGTTATTCTAATATATTTTAATGTGTTAAAACATGTAATAGTGTCTAGTGTCTAATCTAAGCGGTGTTGTTCCTTAAGCGACGTATTAAATGTACAATGTACAATATTTATACATCCATTTACTTTATAATTTTGTATTCTCTTGTTTTGTAGCTTCACCACAAAAAATCCGCCTATGTTGTTCCTTAGTTTTCGAGTATTGACTTTACATTGTAACTATTTCAAAATGACACAAAATAAATGCTTCAGTATATATGATTATTATAATAGTCACTGTATATGTAATTTACATAAATAATAAAAAAAAAGTTGTAAACCAATCAGCGTTTTATTTCAATTTTTATTATTTCTTTCGGGCACGGCCTCACTCACTCACTCACTGGATTGTACTACACATTGTTATCTAAAATACTTCAATATCTACTTTAAGTTCCACTAATTAGTTGCATACAGGATTTAAAACTCCGCGGCCCGTCTAATGAAACCTTATTTAGAAGATAGACAGTTAAAGGTTCATGTTAACGGTATTAACACATGGTTCTGGTCTGGGATGATAATAGGCGTTCCTCAAGGTTCAATGTGGGGTCCGTTTGTCTTTTTAATAATCTATATAAATGACTACTTCCGCGCGGTTTCACACGCTCTGCTCGGCTCCTATTAGTCGTAGCGTGGTGTTTTGCAGCTTATAGCCATCCTCGATAAATGCGCTATCCAACACAAAAAGAATTATTCAAATCAGACTTGTACTTACGGAGATTAGCGCGTTCAAACAAACTCTTCCGCTTTATATAATAGTACTAGCTACTTCCGCGCGGTTTCACCCGCTCTGCTCAGCTCCTATTGGTTGTAGCGTGATGTTATATAGCCTGTAGCCATCCTCGATAAATGATTTATTAACACAAATATAAATATTCAAATCAGACTTGTAGTTACGGAGATTAGCGCGTTCAAACGAACAAACAAAAAAAGAATATACCGCTTTATATAATATGTCGACGAAACTGTATTTTTAGGTATTACGTTAGACAATAGGGGTCCGTATATACATAAAGGCGCTTTCGGGATGATTCAATCTTCCCGAAAGCGCCCAACAGCAGCTGAGCTCAATCTTGAAGATTGAGCATAAGTTGCAATTAGATTAGACAGCTCACGGACGTAGATACAGCAAGGCTTGTATATTTTAGTTATCCACAGCATTATGTCGTACGGCATTTTGTTGCGGAGTCGAGCTGCAGAAATAGAATAAATTTTTTAAAAGCAGAAGCAGGCTATCCGAGCAATATGTAACTTACGGCGCCCCGTTGGGAATCACTGAGAAAATTGTTTACAACTATAAATATTTTAACGGTGCCCTGTCAATACACATGAAAATATAATGTTTGTATACTACAAACTGACAGATTATCTTGAAGATAAGAATGCTTGGCAGCATGTTGGTTCGGCTCCACTGGACAATACTCAAATGTAGTCAGTAGTTACGGTAGTTACTCAGTTTCCAATAGTAGGTAGGTAATTTTAATATTTAATACTTTCATTCTAATATAGGCAATCTAGTTTACGTTTGGCATCGAGAATGTCTTTCTTTATTGGAAGTTTCCTTTTTCTTGCTTTGTTTTTTTTAAGCGGGGAAAATCGTCGAACAGTGATTCTTGTATAGAAGCACTATTTTATGGATTGTCAGGTTGCATATGTAAGCACTATGTTAGACTATAAGATTTTTTTGTTTTTTATTTAATTTGTTAATGCGTCAAGTGTGTTTTTGCATTGTTCTCACCTAGGATCAAACCGAGCTCAAGGTGGATGACACCAGTATCTGGCGGTCAGCGAGTGAGAGTTCCGAAACAAATGGTCACGTATGCGTAGTATTAATTTTTACAATATTGGAATAATACAATATCGCAAGTGCGACTGCCGGTCAAGGGGTCTCTGGTTCGATTTCTCGGTCGGGTATAGTATTACTGGGTTTTAAAAAAAATCTCAGTAGTAGTACGGAATCTAGAATTGTGCCCGATATACGGCAATTGGCTCACTCCCTATTACATGGGACTTATAACATAAATAGTGAAAAGTGGGTATTACATTGTGCAGTGGCATAGTATGCACCTTTGCATACCCCTTCGGGGATAAAAGGCGTGATGGTATGTCATGTGGAATATATATCAGAGATATTGTAAAACAGACTGAGAGTAACGAATGCAGTTTCTTGCTCGTTCTTCTCCATTCGAATCTACATTTTAGAATGAGCACCTAGCTTTACTTACGAACAGACTATTAGGTATTTATTTTGTATTTGTTGACGTTTCAAAAGTACCATATTAAATTATATGCTTTGATTTTGAAATAAAAATAGGGACTTCGGAACAAATCAACGTATTTTTGTTACAACCGATTAGTGCCACAGTAGACAGTTAAGTAACAACTATTATTTTGTTTGATAGTACATAAGAGACAAATATTGTACGTGTTGAGATAAGTTTGAAAAAATGGTTGAAAAATAAAATCTTTCTATGAAAGCGTATTGGAAAAAATAAATTCACGCATTGGCTGCCGTGTCGGATAATGTTGTCCGACGCTAGCGGAGGATTAGTCTTAACAGTTTTTGTCGGCAGTTAAAGGCTTAATAAGCAGGTAGTAGTAGTATTGAAATAAATATCTATTATTTTGGGTAAATAAGTACAATAAAACTGCAGTCTCATTTATATGTTTTTACTTATCACATTATCATCTATAGGTACTTTACACAAATAGTATAATATTCGTATTAGCCTATCATACCCAATGTAACTTTGTACAAACGTTTAGTAATATATTATTATGTATTTACGTTGACTGTACATTTTTTAATACCTTAGTTCATTTTGGTCAAGTATTACATGATAAAACCATTGATAGCGGCGCACACGAATAATAATAAGCACTAATAATAGCTAGTCTGAAGATAAGACTTATTAAAATAAGATTTAATAAGTCTTACACATACATACATGGGAAATAATTAATTAACTTTTACAAGTAAAGGATCCAAATCAATTATATTATCATTAATGTTAGTCATCACAACTTGTATATTAAGGAATGAGCTACATATTATCCTATAACACCCCTAGAAGTCGGGAAAATCATGGGCTAAATATAAGTCTTGTGACACCAAAGCTAAAATTTTTGCAATGAGTTATTACAAAAAGTAATATAATATCACGTACAATTATTCAGAGATAGATACTATCCCTCTGAACTGAGAAAGGTTGCATTATAAAATAATAACATTCACTCTAACGTACGAAATAAACATGTGAACCGTAATCGCCAAGAATTGTCCAAACCTGTAAAAAACAAAAGAAGTGATTAAATTTCATATTAGCTGATGAAGAGCAGTCGGAAATAATTCCAATAATAGACAAACTGCAAACTTTTAGTTGTGTTAGTATTCATTTTTGGCACTAAGCCATTTGTTTATTTCCATTATGAAATAGCACGCGGAATACTACTTTTCGGAATGGATGGAAAATAAAATGATTCCTCCTAATCGGGGCAAGGCGGAAGAAGTGTTTGTTTTAACTCTCGTGACGGGGTATATACTAGACAACTGTTCTTGAGTGTAAGATACTTACGTGACTAGTATTTGCGCGGGTAGTCGCGGGGCGGCGGCGCATAGCGATCGGGGTAGGGCGCGCCCGGCGGCGGCGGCTGATACTGCGGCGCGTACCGAGCTTCGTAACTGCCGTAACGTGCCTCGCCGCTCGACCAAGCTTCACCGCCTCCACCACTACCGTTACTACCTAAAACATCAATAATAAAAGAAAGTTACATACTTATTTTTAATAATTTTAGAAATTAAAGACGGAGATTTGCTTTTCTGTAGAAATTGACACGATTCGTAAGTTAACTTGTATGAAAATCACAACTTTATTACTTCAGTTTCTTGTAACAAGCCTTGTAATTAACCGCAATCTAATACATTATGAATGTATAAATTACCTTTGGAAGGCGGTGCAGCATCAGGGTAACGACTGGACGCGTTCCAGCTACGTGGTTCTGGTTTTCCGGGCGGCGACGGCCGGTACGAACGGTTGTCCCGAGACTCGTATGAGCGACTACAAATAAAACAAATTATAAGTATGATCTTAACAAAAACTAAAATACAAATCTAAACAGTATATGACACAAGATTAATTCAGTACCTGGGCTCTTTAGGCCTGGTTCCTGGTGGCATTGGTTGCCGGGAGTCTTCACTGGCACCGCCATTGCTCGAGTATTTCATGTTACCAGCTGAAAAAATATTGTTTTTTCATTAACTAATATTATTCTGTTCATTATAATAGTGAAATAAAACATTAGTAGCAAATTATTTATTATATGTAAGACTACATAAATAAAATTAATATTAACTACTAGCTTCTGCCAGCGGCTTCGCCCGCGATCCCAGGGGTAAAATGCCTATGTATCACTTCAGACCATAATCTACCTATATATATAATTTTTAATAAGCCTGGACACGCGACGGAAGCTTAAAAAATGGAGTAACTTCTCCCGTTTTCCCAATATGGGAAATATTGATTTCACTGTTCTGCTCCTATTGATCGTAGCGTAATGAAAAGTATACTATAACCTGCCCAAGAGTATGAAGAATAATTGTGCCAAATTTCGTTAAAATCCATCGAGTAGTTTTTGTTTCCATAACGAACATACAGACAGACAGACAAAAATTTTACTGATTGCATTTTTGGCATCAGTAGCGATCCCTAACCACCCCTTGATAGTTATTTTTTAAATATATTTTATGTACAGAATTGACCTCTCTACAGATTTATTATAAGTATAGATTACTAAATGAAAATACATACATTACAAATACAAATATAAATAATTATGAACTAAAATATTTACACCTTAGTAGCATAGTTCAATATATTTTACGCTTACACACGAGTAAAATATAATTACTCACATGAAACATGACGAGGATAATCTCGTTTGTAGTCACGTTCGCGATCCCGCTTGTCAGCTCCTCGCTCGTAGCTCGCGGTCATCTCGAACCGAGGTGGAGGCGGTGCTTCAAACTGTCCTCGGCTGGACGACTGGTGATATTTATTATGTAAGTGAAAAATATCAAACGTGAGGAAAGTCGCCATTTGTTAAAACCGTCAAATTTAAGTTAAATCATTAATGTGGTGTTTGAAGTTTTTACAACTACATTTAAATTCAATGTCTAAGGTAACTGATTTGACTACTTGACTTCTTATGAGAAGCTCTTAACAATAGGTCTGAATAAAAAATAGGTGTCAAGAGTAATTCGAGCTTTAAAACAACCGAAAGTGGGATAAACAATGTCAGTAAGGAACATAGAATAATAATGTAGAAGTTATTGGTACTTACTATGGGTGGCGGCGGCGGTCGCTTATGCCTGGTGTCTCGCTCGTACGCAGGCTCGGGCGGCGGACTGCCTGCCTTGCGATATGTACTACCCTCGTATCCGCGCTTACGACGCTCTTCTTCCAGTCTGAGGATTCACATGACTTCAATTTACTTACTTAATTGTAGAAAAGTACATTTTGACGACAGAACTAAGTTCAGGTGTGTATAGCGGAAACTACGTCACAGAAATGAATATTTTGAAGTAAGTACGGTAATAACAGCTGTCTTACCTTAGTTGAGCACGTTTCAGTTCCAGTCTTTCCAATTCGAGTTTCTCTCGCTCCAGTCTATGACGCTCGCGTTCCAAACGAAGCAGCTCGTTCTTTTCGCGTTCAATTTTTTCTCTACAAAATAAGTTAACCTTGGATTGATCATTGATTCTATTTCCAGTTCCTCTGTTTGCCATCAGAGTGAATTGTATATCACGATTTTATTTATGTACTGCGTGCTTGGTGTAAAAGAAATAGTTACGCAACCTGATTGACCAACCGACAAAAGTAATGAGATAGTCGTACCTTTCAGCCCTCAGCTTCTCCCTCTCGAGTGCGAGTCGATGTTTCTCCTGTCTCTGTCGTCGCTCCCGCTCGCGTAACGCGTCCTCGGCAGCGCGACGCCGGCGCTCCTCCTCGCGCGCCGCACGCGACCGCTCCCGTGCACGTGCCACGTCGCGCTCCTTCTGCACCATACATTTAACCCATTAGCTTATATTCCATACACAGTTATACTACGCACACACACTCATAACATTCTCGTAACAATGTACATGCCATTGCACAAACACTTGAAGGTCAAACTGTCAATGTCTAAATGATCGTATTTTCCACTTTATTTAAAAAGTCGAAAATGAACTCCGATTGGTTACATGCACCATCATAATTATTATTATCAGCCAAAAGGCGTCCACTACTGAACATAGACCTCTTTCGATAACGGCAGATCCCAGTAAACTTTATCTATGATTTACGCATGCATTTGTATACTAAATATACAATTCTCATAAAAACGTTACAACTTATAGATTAGTTTGTATAGTTAAGCTTTTCCAATTTGCGCATCATTTCAAAAGTTATGCAAGTTTTTCGATTGTTTTGATGAGAAGTGTATAACCATATCCCAAACCCATACTAACCCAAATTTTGGAAAAAGACAAAACCTCCCGAGGCGATCGCCGACGCTCTCGGCTCCTTGTGCTTCGCTTCGTACGATCCTGTAAATTGTCGCAAGTAATTTTTAGATGCACTTAATAGTGAAATAAGCTTTAAGAACTTTATTTGCACACCTAATTTTATATAGTTTTAGCAATAATCTATACATATAATAATTTTTAAATAAGTTGAATGTAACCTTATCGGAACGATGTGACTTTTCGCGTGTTCGTGAAGTGGACCGAGTACTTTCTGCTCCCGACATTTCACTCTCTTTCTTCACTGTCTTTTCGATACCTTCTTTGTTATCCTGAAACAACATTATTTTTATTTAAATTTTAACTTCATGATGACAGAACAATTTTTGTAAGAAATTTTATTGTTTTTATAAAAGTATGATCACCTCATTTTCTTTAGGTTCTTCTTTACGTTCTTTGCTAGGACGTCGTTCCGAACGTGCGGATGGTTGGCGGCGTGAAGCCGATTCCGATTCTGACTTAGCCTTCTCAACAGAAATCATACGCCCGTGTAATTCTGTCAAAAAATAATAGAGTAGCAGTCATTTTATGTCATGTTAGAATCATATTTCATTACTTTAGTGCATCTTTTAAGTAGTTACCTGTTCTATGCAAGTTTTTAATACAATTCTCAGCGTCTTGAGCACTTGCCATCGTAACATAGCCATAACAACGAGATCCAGGAGTCCTAGCATTGGTTACCACTTTGGCTCCAATCACCTAGGACAAAAACAACATTTTAGAAATAAAATTATAGTTACAACTGTGCACATGAATTGTTTTGCAAGAGTATAACATAAGGACATCAACCATGTTGCCTTAGTTAAAACATTGCTTGTTTACCTTCCCATGCTTGCTGCAGAGTTGCTTCAAGTCCTTAGCACGTGTGTCACCAGACAAGCCACTGACCCACAAGTTTCTAGCACCTCCTTCTTTATTCTCCTCTTTTTTCTCTTTCTTTTCGCCATCTGCTTCTTTGTCTTTTTCTTCTTTAAAAATAAATTTAATATTAATTTTGTTCTGTAATTTTCAAGGTAGTTTAATGATAAGTTATGGATTAGTATTATACCAACCTTTTATCTCCTTCTCATGCTTCTCATCCTCATTGCTGAAAAAACAGACCAAAGCATTAATAACCAATAAAATATATAAAAAATGCATTTTCAACAATACAAATTAAGGTTCGGATTTTAACATAAATATTTTAATTATGTGTTCCCCAAATTTAATGTGCTGTTTGGTGACATTATTTTTTTAGATTCCCGTAGCGACACTCGTCACCTACAAAGTTTTGCACCATTACTCCACCGCGAGGCCAGTAACGAAGACAGCTCCAGCAGGGATGCAGGCGTCGCCTCAAACACCTTGCGTAGCGCACAGCAGCTGCCGAAGTATCGCGCGGACCGCAAGCCGATGTCAGCAACAGCATCCAAGCTTATGCAGCAGACTGCAGCTCGTCGCTGGTCACGACGCGGTGCACGACAATTTCGTTGAGAAGAGTTGGTAGGTAGTTGTAGTGAGATCCACAGAGCAGCCATATTCCAAATGTTTGGTGCAAAACTTTGTAGTGATAACGAAAGAAAAGTATTGGATGACGGAATAATCGAAGTTATAGATGCGCGTGGGCGGCGACACGGCGGCCGTTCGACGTTCACCAACCTAGTGGCGGGGGCTTCGGAGTTTACTTGATGTTGATCGTCGGCAGGCTCGTCGTCGCCGTTCGCTGCAGAGTCGGCGGGCGCAGACTTGTCGCTCGATGGCTCGGCTGCGTCCTCCTCCTCCTCCTCCGCAGCTTCATCTACGTCAGTTGCGGTTATCAGCTGAGCCAGCGCAGGTCGCTCGCCGAGACTCGGGAGCGGCCCACCCTGCCTCTTCTCTATCTCGGCTAGACAGTGTTGGATTTCTTCAGGTTTTTCATACTTGTTTGATGTTAATACAAAATATCCTGACCTGAAAACTTGATTGGACATTAACACCACCATCTGGATATGGGGGCAGCATAGCAGCTATGAGCTACTATGTCCATAGTAAAGCATACATAACTGTAGGACACCAGAGTGCTGCAGTGATTGAAAATTCCCTGCCACTTAAGTTATACAAAACACCACATCATTGCAAAGAAAGTCACCTCAATCTGGGCTCATTTCAGTTGTACTCCTCCTGAATTACAAACAATTTCATTTGTTCTCTTTCTTTTAGTTTATGGTTGTATTCTGTGTTGCAGCTGTTTCTATGCACCATGCTTGCTTGCCTTTAATCAAATTTTTCTTCTGCTATGCACAACTTTCCAGTCTTGTAAACCGCAACATTTTTTTTTTATTTCAGCATTTGGATAAACATTGCAACATAAGCAGGTTCGTAACTAATTAAGTTCACATACTGAAGAATTTAATACTTTCTATTTTTGGCACATTACTTCAGTTCAATAATGTCATATTTTTATCATGATTTCTTTTAGTTAGAAACATTAAATATCAAGTGGAGTATTTTAATACCATTATCACAACAATATCCACCATTTATTGATCTAAAAAGTAGACATTTATTTACAGAAAATGGATTAAATTCAATTCTAAACTTACCTTTTTTAGATGGTTTAGTGTTGTTTTCAGTCTGAAAGAGATTAAATACAAGGTTAGCATAAAGTTACATGCCTGCATAACAAATTACATCAATATTAGTTTAAGATGTTTGGCGTTATTCCAGTATCATACTATTAATATAATTACTGAAACAGACTAGGTTGAAAAGCAGTTTCCGAAGTAATGTTAGAAAAATTGAGATGATTAAAAAAATAAGATACTTATAATACTATAAGTATATTTCTTATACATAAAATATAAATGGTACATAAATAAATATGTTGTATTTTTCTAACTCATTATCAATTTGCTCATTAATTACTTTAAATTCATATTAATCTATCTCCATCATGAACCCGTTGGATATTTTGGAGGTGACCGGAGGGAGTTTAACTGTAACACTGAAGAAATAGAAACGTACCTCTTCATTGAGCAATTCATCATCACCAATATCCAAGTTAATGCTGTCTTCAGCATCAGTGTTGTTCTCTAGTTTGTGATCTTCCTCATTAGTTGTATCTTTGTCGAGGCAAGGCTTTTTAGCCTCTGTTGCCTCTGGTTCTTCCTTTAATTCCCTTTTCCTATTTAATTTTTCAGGTTCCTCGACCTCCATGGTGTCTTCAGCTTGAGAATTGGATACGTCGGGTTTTACATCTCCTTGCTCTGTTTCTTCTTCCTCTCCAGCGTCATCTTGCACGATCATATCCTCCATGGCTGGAGTATCTTCAGCTTCCTGTTCAACAGTACTCTCCGATCGTCTGGTTCTTTTAGCCGGGGTTTTCGCCTCTACGGTAGCCAATTCGAATTTGAAAGTAGCAGGATCGTGCCCTTCTTCTTCTAAATGCTAAAAAAGAATTTTGTTTTCATACATTGATTTTGTTGATACCTAACTATTGCAATAATACACGTTTCATACAATAAACACGTCACATATTTACCTTCGATAAACGCTGTATGAGCACACCGCGAACACCGCTTTTATCTAGGTTGCGCTTCTCCAATTCTGCCCGTAAGTCTATAACTCTGAGGTCATTTAGCAAGCGCTTTTTGTCCGACATCGCTTGATGTTATTTTAAGAATGTTACTATTAATAACTTCTTTATCTTGAAGTAAATTTTCTATAATATACGAAACCAATAATGCCACACACGAATGACAAAAATGTTAAGATGGCGGTCAAAGATGGCGGCGCAGATTTTACTGCTAAAATTTACCATAGACTATTAAAAAAGAAAAAAGAAATGGGTACGCCATAGACAATAGGTAGAACAGTTTTCGACGATTAAACGAACATTAATCTATCAGAAAATACTGATTTTAATAACATAACTTAAGAAACCACCGTTCTAACAAAGATCGAGAAATAAAATAAGCTTCCAGGGATTATAAAATAATGCTGAACATTTTATATCCTATGTATCTTGCTATTTTTCGAATTTCGGATATATTCGACTCGGGCAGCCAGCAGCCTAAACTAGGTGAAAACAGAAAATAATGCTTAATCACATGACTGTCAATATTTTTGTCAGATAGACAGATTGTCAGTGTCATTATTATTTTGTATTGTGGAGAATTAGTCTAGTTGACGACAAATTATTTTCTTTTATGTGTAATACTTCTTAAATACTTAAATTTGAAATCATTAACTTATTAGAATATTAGTTTTTAATAATATACACATAGGGAACCTAAATTATGGCCGGAGAGTGCCAAGGTACATTAGTAAATAATTATATTTCCACGGTTTCCCAATTTCAACTAGTTAGTTTACCCTAACAGTTTATGTTACTTGTGTTTTAGATTCTGTTGATCCAACCGAGGCTGTTGCGAATGAATTGCTGGATAAAATAATATTGAAACAATTGCATTTGATGGAAGAAAAGATGCGTTGCGAATTAAACATAGAGACCAGTATCAAAAATGGAAGTATTCATCTAGCAAAGTCTCGTTATATCATGGGGCAGAGCTCTGTGAGCACAGCACGGCTCCCTACTGAGAGCAGCCCTGATTTCTCAGCTTCTACAATTTGTGAAACAACCGAGGAAGATGGAGTTAAACTTATGAAAGTTATTGAAAATGATGCTAAGAACACTGTTAATCCCCTTCGTTGGTTTGGAGTGTTAGTTCCACAGAACATGCATAAAGCTCAAAGTATATTCCAGAATACTATTAACTTTGTTGTAGAATGTGTCAATGTTCAGTTACAGTTGCATAGCAACTTGAAACTTATTAACATGTTGAAACAGTATATTGGTTCTAAAAAGCTTACCTAGCCATCTAAAGTATTCCAGGCATTATATTTATGTTGGTTTGTTGTTTCACCTTATGTAAATTATTTGTTGTTGAGTTGTAAATAAAACAAATCATGATTCAGTTGTTATTAATTGTTTTATTTGTGAAATGAACACTAGGTGTCATGTTGGTGGCTTAATTGTACTGCAATAAGCATAATATATTTTCATAATTTATTGATTTAATCACAACATACCTATGTATTAAAATGCCTTTGTAGTTAAACAGTTTCTTTATGCACTGGAATTATTATTAAACGGCTCTTCCATGTATCACTGAAGTATTTAATTGTAACATTACTTAAATACTTTTTGGTGTGACATACTTTGTTATTATACAATTAAATATGTAAAATAACTGGTTTTATACATACAAGTTCTACAAAACAGATTTTTTAATAACATTTATGTCTGATTGTCTATATAATATTTAACTAGATAATGATTCACAAACAAACAACAGAAATGGAATGTTTATCTGGAGAACACTAACTGACATGAAACCAGCAAATATATTTCATCTAATTTAACGTTCACAAGGGGATATCAATTAATAACAATATCATACTTATGTTAACAAACTGGGTGTATGTTTAACTGGTATTATATTTAACTTGAGATCTTTACATTTAACATTCAGATATTTTAAATACATTTAATTTCATTAGGACAAAACTAGCAATATTAAAAGTTTGTAGTCTGCCTATATCTGGGTTTTAAATATCCTGTAAGGAAATTAACTAAAAATCGCAGGTTACTTATGTGAATATACTGAGAAGAGCTGTACAAGTTTCGAACCACAGAGGGGTTCTTCCTCAACCTGTCCTTTCCTGTACCGAATCAAACCCACTATCCGCGCCGCTGGTGAACGTACCGTGCGCTTTAATATCGTTCAATGCGCCGCCGCTGGAGTTGGAAGCTAACGCTCGTGGTGTCCGGCAGAGGGCGCGTTGGGCTCGCAGCTCGCAGCGCAAAAAACTGTAGAGCTTTTCTCAATATATTCACCTGAGTAACCCGCGATTTTTATATAATCCTGTAAATAGTTATTGCAGATGCACTTATTGTTTATGGCAAGGAACTTATTTCACCTATTTACCGATTTCCCCAAACATAAGAATATAACATAAATCATTAAAGATTTTCAGTCTCTGTTTAACAGCCAGTTACATTTTAAGTCTTCATACCACCATCTCTTAAAAATGTACTGCAGAAATTTATTTATTTCTTGATATACTAATTTAATTGCAGCAATTTCATTCCTAGAGGTCTGTCATCTAAAAGATTGAAGATAACATTTTAACATAACACAACAATATTAATGTACACAATTTAATTAGCAACTTTAATGTGAAAACAAATTAGAACTTTAACTACAATTGCAAAGAGACAATATTTTAAAACTTCTTTAAGAAGTGCAAAAATCAATAGTAATTATCAAATATATAATAGCTTTTAATAAAATATTAATTTTTGTGCAATTGTGCGAAGAAATTGATTATTAAATAAATTTTTGGTATTTGTGCTTAAACAATGGCATCATGACTAGACTTTATATTGAGCTGTCTTGTAAGTCATTAGGACATAATACTGAGTCTGTGGCATCTGTGATACAAAGGTACCATCATTACATCAATACGAACATGTTTTTTTTACAAATGTTTGAAGTCTAGCCCAAATACTGTGTTTAAATAACTCCATAAATCTCTTAACATACAAAATAAAAGTATGTTTACAGCTTTGATCTGATCGCTATTAGTACGACGAGACGTCCGGTCTTAGGTTCAACAAACTTGAAATATTAAAGTCCCTTTTGTAGTATCTACATAAGTAATAGTTAAAAAATATTTACAAAATTCAAATAATTTACAAAAAACAATCACAAAACTGGTATGATATTATATAAAAACATGTCTTAAATCTAATAAAATTCGTTATTAAGTCAATAAAAACATTTAACAATAGGTAAATAAATTAAAACTACAATGGAATGTTTACACACTCAAAAATATTGATACACATGATTTGTGCTATTGTTTGCTAAATGCAAAAGCGATTCTACTATGATTCTCATCAAGTCATCAGTAGAGACGGGTCTCATTCACAAGAACTCTTTCAGGACGCTAGAACCATGTTGGGCGCCAATATTATTTAATTTATTTATATTAATTAATTTACTAATTTCATCCGCGTTACTACACGCCTCACTAGTTCATGTTACAAAAATATCTTGGGGGAAAATTCGAACACCGAACACCGGCAATCTAAGACTTAAACAGAACCACTACTACCATTGTATGCTATGCTATATGGACGCGATTACAAATGTCGGCTCGACTCGCAACACGATGGGTACAAGTTAAGATGATGCGTCGGTAGCGCCCGGGCTCAGCGACTGTCATGTTGGCGAACCCGGCCGCGTACGGGGCGGGCTCGCAGCAGTAACGTACGAGCGGTGCGGTGGCGGGCGCGACTTGCGCGTCGCTAGCCGTTGTCACGGGTGTCGCGTTGTGCGGAGCTGGCGGCGCCGGCGGCGCGCCACTCGGCGCGGGTGCAGGCGCCGTCGCGCCACCACGCCTGCACGTCCGAGTAGTGCGCACTGCGCTGCCGCCGCTCGTTCGCGTGTACCATGGCGCACACGCGACAGAAGAAGTACGTGTTTATGAACTCTCCCGTACCCTGATAAAAAAATTGATTAACGTGGAACCTCCATCTTTCTTCTGTAATGTATATAAGAAATTACCTATTATGGAAGCCTCAACACTTACTTTCCACTTGAAATAGGAATTGTATAAATTATCGTCTTCGTCAAGACGCCTCAGATAGGCAGCGAGTTCTTCAGGGCTAGCGAACTCCTCCACATGGACGTACGAGTTGTGGGGCGCTAAGGCTGCATACTCTGATGCGCGAGCACCCATCACTATAGGCAGTACGTTGTGTCTGTAAAAAGTATAGCAAATGAAAACGACAGTTCCAAACTAGACTTATATTTGGCTATGGATTTAATCTTGGTAAATTAACCCAGGAACGCTACAATCCCGAATAGGATTAAAAAATTAAGGTGCAGTGGCTAGCAGATCAACCTAATCCAATTGGATACTTTCCTTAATCAAAAATAAATTATTTCGACTGTTCAATACAATAAAATATTAAAAAATAATCACACTTTAATTAATTTATTTTATGACCAACTTATTCTATAAAATTTCTATGAAATAAGTATTCTGTAAAATTTCTATGAAATAAGTATTCTCATAGAAAACTGTCGTTTTTGACAGTTTGAAAAAAAGTATTGAATTTGACTAGTTGGCAAGTACCTAATTTTTTAAATTTATTTTTTGCATTTTCGATTTGATGTCAATTCAATAAAGTTGATATTTTGGGTAACGGATTAACCGTTACATACCTAAATAAGATACACTTACTGCAGTCCATTGACAAAGAATTTCTCAGTGACGTAATCACGACAGTTTGAGTTCTCGAATGCGAGGTAGAACTTGTAGTCCTTATCCAACATTTCGAGGCAGTTGGGGTCAGTACGAGGACAGTGGTGTGCTCCACAAGCCCCGTAGATATCCACCTGGATGTATTTGCTGAGCTGACGCGCGTATTGTAGCCGCCGGTTACGAGCGTGACAGTTCGATACGAACCACGCCACCTGTTAAGAAGATTTGTCAGTTAAACAACTTTTCAAATAACTCATTCCCTATTGACATTTTTCTTCCCTAAAGTCGGCTGGCAGGTAATTTAGCTGATATGGAGGTGAGTTACCTAAGCTAAGATTATGATAAAGATAAGATAATTTTATTTTTTGCTGTACCTAATGATAGGTTCCATCTTACTCACAACTAGATTATACATAAGGTTATCCAACAGTTAGTAGGTACTTACTAAGTACTAACAGAAATTTATTTTGTCCCTATTTTTTTACTCACCTTTTTAGTTTTATTAGCAGCAAAGTTTCTGTCAAGATCTTTTTCGATGATGAGGGGATCGTAGTAGACCCAGTGTTCGTAGGGTGCGACGATGTCGGAGTCCCGTCGGTAGGTAGACGTCCAGTTGAACACGTCCACCGATGTCGGCCGTAATGATGCCGTGTGGTAAGGACACTCCAAATAATATAGGATCCAGATCTGGAAAGTAAGAAAGGACTGAATTAGTTTTTGCAAACAACTTATAGCTATTGAAATGAAGAGCCCAGTCAATTTTTATTATCTCCTTTTTGAGACTCGGGTAATGACCAGTGGTAGTCTGGTAATGACAGTATTAGTTTGCTTGTTTGTCTAAGGAAAATTTATTAGATATTAGAAAGGGAAGGTGAGTACCTACAAAATTGCTTCACCCACAGAAATTATTATATCTGTGGCTTCACCTTACCTGTTTAGGTGAACGTTTTACGTTGAAAGGTGTGTGGTGGTCTTTGTATAGAATGGCATCAGCAGTGGCGGCATCTCGTGCGTCTGAGGAGAGCGTGCAGCGGTCTACTGGGCATTTGTTCCGAATGAACTCTGTTCTGCCACCTGACACACCCCATGCTCCGAACCCGTTTGCAAGTAGAATTTTCTTTATAGGCACATCTTCGTCTTTTGGTAGCGTATACATTAATTGGTTTACGACTCTGTAATGAGGTAAAAATTGGATTGTTTTTACAAACTAGCTAATTTAACCATCATATTTTTATTGGATAAGATTGGTACTTTTAACAACAATTAAAAGTTTCAGTATAATTAACCTGTCTTGTCCAGGTGCATCTTCTGGGAACAGTGCAGCGTTAGGTTCGTGCTGCGTGGGCCGTTTGTCTCCTCCGCGCATGAACCAGGGCACCTGAACCGTCCCGTCATCTTGAACTGCTGCGAACTCCGACTCCGTGATCGAGTTCTGAATTTATAACAACGAAACTAAGTTTATTGTTAACCTAAAGTTATGGGAATTGTTATAAATTTTCGATTTATATTTCTAATTGACGTAGGTAAATCTCGCTTTTACTTTGTTGTTTGTTAAGTATACGTTAATTTTACACAGCATTATTTATTTTTAACTTTATTGTTACGTAAAAATTTAAGAATCTATTCAAAAATATTTATTCTGGTGTTTTAAAAAACTTGATCAGTCTATTTCCACTACGAAGAGGATGTTGATGTTCATGCATTATAATATCATTGTGTAACATAAGAGGTGCATTAACCGAATAATAGATAATAACTACTTAACACATAACAGAAACAGTTATTCAAGTACAATTAAGTACTTAAGTAGATATGTATTAGCAATCGTATGTGAGAATTTCTTCCAGCTACCTCTCTTGCTGTTATGAGAAGCAAAAGAAAGTGAACCAGTGTTGTGTGTGAACAAAATGTTTTATATTTCCATTCCGTGTTATTAAACGGAATACATTATTATCGTTTCAGAGATTTCAGGTATCTACCTACCGATGTACTAAATTGCAACATAATATTTAAGTTGCCAAAAGGTTGGTAAATTATACCTTACATTTCAAAATCGTGTTTCCAAACCGATATTGAAATGCTAGCATTATTTAGGCTCCGTCTATAATATTGGGGCGGGATAGGTGTGAAGTCAGTTTTAGAAGTTAGAAAGAGATAGATAGCGATTATAGAAGAGAGAGATCAGATGGATGATGATAAAATAAATAACAATAGCGCATGTAAAAGAAGGTATGCTGTACGAAGTCGATACGTTTTAATTAGCTGTGTTTCTTTGTACGGCGAATGGCGATTGCCGGTTATTATTGGCATTTAATTGACTAAATAAACTTAACATTGTTAACGTTAATTTTATTTCCTCAACATGTTGTAGCAATGAAAAACGTAATTAACAAAGCATGAAAGTTTTTATTATATAGTAAGTAAATGTCATTCTGATTACTTTACCAACAACAAATTATGAAAATAGTAATTAAAAGTATCATACAGAATGTGATAATGCTGTCCTACTTACAGGTCATTTTTATTGTTCCGAGTTGTACCTACCTACAAACGTTTGTATCATACTTACCTACAACTTCATTAAGTATGCATCGTATTTATTTATTAAATAGGTCTGGTGATTCCAGTGTGACCAGTGTGACCGGTGCATATATATAATTTTATAATGCCCATCTAATTGATGATTAGGTATGAAGCACTAAATGTTATACAGTATTTGCCTTAATTATCTCATAATTAGTTCATGATTATGCTGATAAATTATTTTTAAATCGTTAGATCATCAATTCTTGTTTTAGTTTAAGTAAGTAACCATAAAGAATTCTTTGATTTGGACAATTTGGAAGATACCTCAATGTTGGCGTCGAGGGCAGGTGGAGGTACGGGCGGGGAGGGGCTGCGCGGCGCAGGGTCGAGCGAGGGCGGGCGCGGCAGCAGCAGCAGCACCAGCGCTGTCAGTGCCAGCGGCAGCAGCAGCGCGGCCCTGCGCAGCGCCCGTATCGCGCGCGCCGCTCGCACCCACATGCTGGCGTGCGCGCTGTGTGGCAGTGTCGCCCGCTCGCTATCCCACCCTGGCCGCACTAGCTAGCACCCTGCTACACGCCGCCGCCTGCATCCCTGCCTCCTCACTATCGTATTCCGATTACTTGTAACATCTGTAACAAAATAAAATGAAATATTTACTGAGGTGTCTTTGTATTTCAGAAGGTATTTATAACTCAGTCACCTTTTAAACCTCAGTCGCCTGCTTTTATATATGTAGGTAAGTAGGTACTAAGTTTACATAGGTACAACAACCCTTAATTTACCTAAAAAGTCATTACGGATGTTCAGTCGGTAAAGTCTAAATAATATAAGAATTACTTAGGTAAAGACCTAAATTGATGTTATGTGTAAAACGCACAAATAAGATACTATGACGTTATTAGTAAGCACACATGAGGACTTTATTTCCTAATTGTTAAAATTAAACTACGTACCTACATACCTTCCTGTATTTGTTTCGTTAAACCTAAGCTAAGCATTGGGTACCTACCTATCTATTAATGTCTACTCGCAAACAAGACGTATATTCAATTATTTATGTATTTCCTTATTTACAGTTTAATTCCTTAGGAGGTAGGTCTAGGACACGTTCTCGCCTTCAGTTTCATCAATATAAAATTTGATTTATAATTATTGCTGAGTAATAAGGTACCTAGTAGCGTAGGATAAAGTTTATTAGGCAGTATATTATAAAATAATAGATATTTTATAGCTAGCGCAAGGCACAATGACAATAGTAACTATGTAAGTAGTTAGGTATGTACCTACCTACTTACTTAGTACCTACATAAGTTGGTATATAGGTACTCACCAATTCACCGTACATCCATATAAATAGGACTCCATACAATAGTTCTTAATTATAATGAACAAAGCCTTATGTTGATTAAAGAAACAAATGTTGTTATTAAATGGTTTCGAGTATTGATATATTCAATTTGGACTAGTAAATGTTTGAAATATGTTGAGAATCCGTAATCAATAGAAATATTAATTCCTATTAACACAACACAAGACAATAAAGTAAAAATATTTTACGAAGCCAATGATGTACTAGAACTGAACATTTCTCGCATTGATATTTCCCTTGTATTTAGCACTACCAAGCACTTTACACAGCTGATTTTCTGTATATAAATGAATAAAATATAGCTACAAAAAGCATAAAAGCATGTAAAATATGTAAATATATAATATTAACAAAAAACCCGTGTAAATAAATGTATGCATTAAGTGTACATGTCAAATCATATGTTTTAATCTTCTCTATAGACAAGTGATTGGTACCTACATAGAGTCTTTATTTGAGTACCTAGATAACTTTCTACACAATAGATTGGTTTTGGTGTTCATTAGATGTAGAAGATTGTATCCACATAGCGAAATAACTATATCTAACTATAGTAGATTAGATAACTCCAGTGTTGTTAGTGGATAATTACACGATCCCTATATTTAAGATCCGGATGCATAACGGCACTAAATAAATGCTTTGTTCAAAATTCGCTCAGCGTGTTTGTTACACCTTTCCAATTCGAATAAAAAACGACTTAATTTTATAAAACTGAAGACTTTGTTTTGTTTGAACGCACTAATTTCAGCACCAGATTTCACCAAAGCATCGAATGGGATATAATATTTTTTTATGTTGGATAGTCCATTCATCAAAGAAGGCTTTAGTCTATAAAACATCACACACGATTACCTATCTTGATATAAAGATTTATCCATTTATCTATAATCTAAAATGTTACATTTGGATTTCTCAAGTTCATTGAACTCTAATGATTGAGCGTACTTGTATTTGTCAAACATTGCGGTTACTTAGACGATGCTAATTCGATACCGTTCTGTCATACTGCGCTTGCGACGCAACTCGTAGATGTTAAAAAGTAACGTTTTATCTGGAAAATCTCTCGTTTACGGCTGTCGACCTGTGTTTTGTAAATATTTACAGACAACTGACAATATAACGGTGTTTATGTACCTACTATTCTATAATTCGATTAGAACCTTTGTAACAACGGGTTAACCAGAGCACTCATTATCACTGTGGTACGTACGATTGTAGTACCAATGCCAATTTAACATAACATTACGATTTCCAAGAAGTAGGTAGTATTATTAGTATTAACAGAGATGTATTTCATAAAACATTTTTTTATATTAGGATACTATTTAACGGCCTCAGTTTATTATTAAGTACCATGACATAAAATGACAACCTTATGCGTTAATAGACAATCCTCGACGGGTTAGATAAAGTTATTCAGGTGTTCATCTTCAATTTAAAACCGGATTTTTCAAAGGTATGAGTCCCATGGTGGTTAGGGGTCAGGTGAACCAGCTAAGAATGACGAAAAGCCAAACCCAGTAAGACTTTAATCGGACCGGTAATCGAACCAGATACCCCTTAACTCGGCAGTCGCGTTTACTTTAGCAAAACTAGAGAAGTAGAAATTATATACATCACAGAGAGAAGTAGAAATTATATACATCACAAACATGCTTTATGTCTAAGCACGGCCTATGCATAATATTTCAGTAGAACCTAAGTAGACATCATTATAATAATTTTATGTTTACTTGTTTACATGCAAATAGACCACCCTATATCTGACATTTCTCCTCATTGTCCCCATGCCATTAAGAGTTTAGATAAACATAGGCGTTTAGGTTCATGACCTTCAGACCTTCAGACTATAGTGGTCATGTCAAGGTCACGCTATTTAAAGGTAAAAACACATTATCTATATCTATTAATAGATTGACATTACAGTCCCTAACGGTTTTCTATGTGAAATAAATAAACACAGTGTTTGTTTACATTTGTAGTAGACTTTGAGACTTTAGTTAATAGTTCAATAGATTAGGTGTTATCGAATTTATTTTTCATATTATTTCAATATTTTCCCAATGAATTGATGCATCCTTAGAACAAAAATGAGATGCTTGCACATCAAAGTAAAAGTTTAATAATAGTTTAAAAGTAATCTATTCTTTAAAGAATGTTAGTATTGTAAGTGACATTCTAATAGTATACACTTACAACGCTATAAATCTCTCAAACTATAATTTGCACGCATTTTAATTACTTGTCTAATATATTATGTTTCTTAAACTTCAATCTACATTGTTACCAAGTATGGCTAATAGAAATCTTAAAACTAACACGTGTTACATAAATCGTTTAATAAGGTTTAAACGTATCCAATTCTCTAATATGTGCAGTGTATTATTTCTGACAGATTTGTTTTCGTCTGTACTGTAACCGAACGTCATTTGCTCATTACGATAAAGTTATTAAAGAACGAAATGAATAAATCGTCGGCATGAAATGGAATTACGATGGCGTGCATGCTCGATAAGAGCTGGTCATCTGGCGCAGATCTTTTGCCACAACACACTATTTAGATCTGTTCTATTTCATTATGTTGTCCAAATTATAATGGTGATATGATAGTATTAGATATACACCATTTGAATTAGGAACGATAATGTGAGTTTTGGTATCTATTATATCTATGTAGTGACGATAAAATTCGAGTTAAAATACTTTTAGACAATTTAATCGATATTTTAATACGAACTTCGAACATCGAATATTATAGTAGGTTCCTTTTCCTTTTCGTTCCGTAGTCTTTGCCTACCCCCATGGGAGACAGCCGTGAGGTTATGTACCTATCTATGTATGTATGTCTCGTGATTTCATAAATGCAGATGGTGAAATAAAATAACTAAGTGAATGGCATAATGGAAATAAAATATTATAAAACAAAAGTATGACGAACGTTTTATAAACATGAGTTGTTTAATCATGAATAGTCAATCGCATATTCGCATACTTGTTGTAGTATTCATTTTTGCTTTATGCTTTTAGGTATCAAATCTTTCTAGAAAAATGTTATAAGAGGACTAACGATAAATGTTGAAAAGTGGGCGTATTGTATCGTATCGTTATCCGTAACATCCACAGCCCATGATATCCTACAGCTGGACTACGCAGCCCTCCACATAAGAGGGTTCGTTATAACGTCCACGTATCTCAGGTGAATGATGATCGGAGTTTTATCAGATCCTCAGAGGGCGCTGCTCCCCATCATCAACAGCATATAAGTGGTCACTGCTCACCAAGGAGGGCCGGCCTCCTCTCACACGGAGAAGGTTTGAGCATTAATCACCACGCTTGCTCAATGCGGGTCGCCAACTCCCCAGTCTTTGTCAAATGTCTTTGACTGCATGCCTGGTGCGGTGGCTGGGCAACTGGCTGCCGCGCAACGTGTAGCGTGTTCCATTCTCGCACTATTCGGGTCTGGGTGTCATGTGTATGTGAACTCGAATGTTTGTAAACGCACCCACGACACCGGAGAAAAATTATGTGTGCGGCAACGTTTAAAAATATGTGTAGTATCGTAGTCGACTGTTACTTTAGTGTGCCTGCTTTTATAATTCTCTCAAACTCAAACTCAATTAAACCATAATTTGGTACTTTTGAAACGTCAATAAATATGTAATAAATAATAGTCTGTCAGTCTGTCCGTCAGTGAAGCTAGGTGCTCGTTCCAAAATGTCGATTCGAGTGGATAAAAACGAGCAAGAAACTCCATTCGTTATTCTTTTGAAAAAAGTGTGTTTTACACTGCTCTGATACATATTCCAATATTGTACACACATGTGAGAATAATTTAAAGACATACCTCTATAGTGAAAATAATATATGCCATCATCAAATAACTTGAGATAACTTTTTACTTACTTTTGCAAGTAAAAAGTTATGCTTCAAAGAGAACAGTTCAAATATTGCTGCCTTCATGCCATGCCTTCTAAAAGGTGATTAGTTCCAAGTTTTTCTTCGCAATCACGTTCACAGTTAACGTTATTTACTATCATACAAATCAACACCTATTGTATTGTTCCAATGGCATGAGCTCATCTTACTCAATGTTTATTTCAAGTGTGAAATGATAATTGACATTATTACTTGTACCGTCATCTGCCATTACCTGCAATTGCGATCCTTTTACAGATACGTGTATAGCTTGCACACACGCAACGCACATAATTCAATATTTACACGTGTCAGATAATTTTGGGCTTCGCACTTACATTGAACAAGATAGGTTCCAAATATGCACTTATTAAAGTTATTAGGATCCTGGTACACTTGGATAAAATGTTGCCATAATTGATCAAGTTTGTTTAATTTCAATAAATGCATACATACATAATAGACATGCACTCTAAGATACACAAAGACATGCAGCAGTCTTAAGGTTCTATTACGCATGACGTTTTTTTGACTTGCTCTGTTCCGTAGTCTGTAGTTAGCGTAGTAATCCGTAGCTACACCCACACATGCATATGACTTCACAATTTTAGTATTTGCGATCAAAACATGTACGGTAAAGGTCTTACGCCTCGTGAGTTTCATAAAAAGGCTTATTTTTATGGCCACATCAAGTGATATCAAGTCGTATGGATAAACAGCTGTAAGATATTTTTATAGTCTTAACCTAATTCCACTAGTTTCAGCTCAAGACTAAAAATCACGAGTAACTCACGTAAATATACTGAGAAAAGCTCTACTACTTTCGAGTCACAGAGGGACTCTTCCTCATGAGCAGCGTGCGCGATAGCAGCGACCTTGCGTACCCAACAGTTTGGAATTGGAAGTTAATTGATCAAGATAACGTCAAACTCGGAGAACTGTATGCTCTACATGCACCTATAGAATTTGGTTTAAAAATTGAGATGCAAAGGAAAAGGAAAATATTTTAGGATTGATACGATCAGTGTACTATTTTTATTATGCTTATAGTTTATAAGCATAATAATTTATTTTTTTTCATAAGGGAGGGCAATCATCGACAATACCTCTAGGTACTAAATACTTCTCCCGCACGGGTGAGGCGGGAGGGAGTATCAGACTCTTATTGACTAAAAACCACCCTGTTTTTGCTCCTGCACTTGGAGCCGGAGACCCGGTGACCTTTTAAGTTCTCCGCGGTTCCGTATTGGCATTAGCCCTATTGGGCCCCATCTGTAGTGGTCTGATGGCTCTTTGAGGCGCATGCGGAACGCGACGCGCCGTACTCTTCTTGTACATATGGTAAACTATTGCCTTGGGGTGTTATACAAAATATAAAATAATGTAGTTATATAGTTTAACTCACGCTCTTTACACGTTCTGTACACACCACGAATGCGTGAAATGGCGTAAAATCTTTAGAATTTCAATATTGTTGACACAGTTGTTGGTAATTTGATATTGAATATTGTTACCTAACATAAGTAAGTACATACCTATTCTCAATTTTAAGGTATAAAGTTAGAAAAAACATAAAATTTTAGAACATATTTTGATGTATGAAGTGTGGTTTAAAGAACACTTTAGTATGCAGTTTAGTTTAGTCACTTATCAATAGGTTAAAACCTATTTGATTATTTATGGAAGTGTTTAAGTTCTTATCTTTTCACTGTATTTTTTGCGTGTTGAATATTTATCATGAAATGCCATTTGTTATCGTTGTTTCGTTCTTTTGAGTATATATATATTATACTATGTATTTTCTTTTCTTTTACGAGCGATTCGCATTAACTTTTAAATTCTAGTCTTAGTTTAGTTACTGCCGATTTCGATAACCGATCTTGATTCGTTTCAAGAAAGAGAACATTTCCAATTTCTTTTCAACGTCCTTGTCAAAATCCAAAATTTGTGGATTAACATCGATTTTAGATAGAAACTCCGCACAAGTAACGTCACAAATCGGACCAAATCGGATTAATAATATAGGTTATTGAAATTGTCAGTTAATCGGATTAGTGTTTGATTTTTCAGGTAGAGCAAGGACACTGCACGAGGATCCGGTAATTTGGAAATGTAACCGGCGTTTGTAAATATACTAGACTAGAATATAGGTACATAACACTCACAAGAGACAAAATGTTGTGTGTTTGTTAGTACGCCTTGAACAATGTTGTGTTGTTTATTTTTATATGTACTACTTAGAACCATGTATTAAAACATCTAACTAAACGATATCTGGGTGATTTTGTACGAAACATTTACATTCTAATAAGTAGATAGAATTAGTAAATACACACAAATTATACGAAAAATATATTAAGGACCGGTTTTTCAATGCTCAGTTCAATTTTATCAGAGGAATAACTTTCAATATTTGACAATTCTTCCATACTAATAACTGTGTAATGTCAATTTTATTCTACAGTTGAGAATTAAATGATGATTGAAAAATCGGCTCTTTTTATTTATTTATTTTTAAGGGGGGGAAATCATCGAATGGCGACTCCCACATGGGTGGAAAGAAAAAATCGGTCCTAGGTAACTTAGTTTTAACTGGTTAGATAAGCCATCCGACTATTTGAAAGTTTTTATTGTGTCACTTATTTCCTACCAATATTATAATTATATTATAATACTAAAAGTGAGTATGTGTGTATGTTTGTTCCTCAATTACGTCAAAACAGGTGAAGGGATCGGGATGAAATTTGGAACAAGGGTACATTATGGTCTGCAATAACACATAGGGTACTTTTTACATCACGCGAACGCGGGCGAACCCGCTGGTAGAAGCTAGTTACTTAATCATAAATTAATAAGAAATAGTCCAGTACTTGTGCCCTATTGATATCATTTCAGGGTCGTAATTGTTCGTTGAAGTGTTATGTCGGGACTAAACTACACATAGATATATATTATATAGGTACATTTATCAGATTAGTAGGCGGTGTTATCAGTGATGGTGACTAATGGACGAAAAGGCCAATTAAGTAATCGTGTTAATTGGCCTTCCATAGTCACTTAAACAAATTGTTTTTGGATGTAAAAATAAATTGTGATTTATTATTTCTACTTTAGAGTAAGGGTTTCTGGCAGTGCCGGATTAACCACGTAACATGAATAGCATGTGTTAAGAACCCCGTGCGAAATAAGGTAACCAAATGCATCTTCGTCTTAGGGTACATTTTTAAATGAAACGTACAGGGACGTAGCTGGAAATAAGGATTTAACGGAATGAAATGAAAAAATAAAATGAAATCATTTAATTGTTAACATACGTTATATAAAGTTGTTCGAATGATTGACATACAATGCAATATAGCGAGTTCGTCTATGTTTTGCCTGGAAGCATACAAATTCATATAAATAAATATAAATTCAGAAAAAAATAAGAATCTATACAGGAACAAACAACAACATCGTAAGATGGAAGTTAAATTAAAACCATTTTAAAAAATAACCATCACCATCAGTCATTTCATGAGCTTTATCCCTCATGCAGGAATTTCATTAAAAAAAATAATAATTGGGATGTCAGGAGTATAATATAATATATATGGGATGTGATAATAAGCATGAAATTACATAAAATATCAGTTTTTATCAAAAATAGTCTGTAAACGACAAAAAACGGTCAAAAACGTAACTTTTCTACTCTACTCATTATAGAAACTGTCACATGACAATAACAAGCGGACTGACAGACAATAGTTATTAAATAGGATATGTCGGTGCTGTGGTAGCTCGGTGGGTACATTCTAATGCGTTTTTACGTCCGGTGCAAAATGCCGCATAATAATATTTAAATTCAACGTTCGGTATTTTGTACGGCAATTTAGATTTGTCGATTTAACGAGCAATTACCACGATTGTGGAAAACGTTCGAACGGCCTTTATATGCTATGGTGTTTTGCAATACGTTAGTTTAGTGTAAAGCCATTAGTTTGGCCGACAACGTGTTTATTGAGATTTGTTACACAGAATTGTTATTTAATGGCTACTACTGCCGATTTTATCCTGTTAGTACATACATACGTACAACATATGCATGCAATGATTGAATCATAATAAGATATTTTGTGTGCAGTCGAAATGTAATGCTGTTCTTGAGGTTCAATTTAAAAATTTATAAAAAATAATTATTTTACAAACTACGTTTAAAAAAACCGACTCATATGTGTAACAAACACTTTCTTGAACAGTCGCATCGAAATCGGTTCAGCCATTTGCGAGACGAGACGATATAGTCAAACAGAGAACCTCCTTTTTGAAGTCGGCTAAAAATAATCCAACTCTATCTAAGTACCTTCTGAGAAAGTTTTGCGGGATGTTAAACTAAATTATAACTCTTATTTGTGTTATTCAGTAGTGGTTGCATTCGAAAAGAGCTTAGAAAACGTTTATTTTCGCAGTAGATGGAAACAGGCTGATGAAGCACCATCACCATTATCAAATTTAGGGTAGGGGACACCTATTAATAAAGTTTATAGAGGTAGATTGCTTTAATGATACACTTTACACGCTCCAAGCGGATTATCTCAGTCCTAATTTGTACTGATAAAGTCAGAATTATGATTTCTTTGAAAGTGAATCGTGGCAACAAATCTCTTTGCAAATATCCATAAAGATGGTCGTAAAGTTACACGTTCACATATCACGAAGGATCATTACCGTGAGGAGCTTAGAGGAGAGCATAAAATGAATTGACACTCTCCCTTTATGACAATATCTCTGGTTACATACAAAGTTTATTTTTTATTTCCATCATATATCGTACATTGGCAAATTCCGCGGTTTCACTCGCTCTGTTCTCGGCTTCTAATAGATAGAAAACATCACGCTACGATAGCGTGATGTTTTCTAGCCTCCAGCCTTCCTTGAACTTGATAAATAGATTATCCAACACAATAAGATTTATTCTTTTTTTATATTAGATGGGACTGACGTTTGATCACTATCTCGCCTGGTGGTAAGCGATGATGTGGCCTACGTTGGAGCACGTCGACCCATAAGCAACCTGTTCACTCTTGCATCCAGGTTATATCCTTAAGGAAATACAGACTCTAGCAAAGAATTTCACTTCTTAGCAGTACGTGCGTGTGGGTGGGACATCTACCATGAATCGGTGACGCTTTGCCGATAGTCTTGTGGTACGTTGATGGATAGGACTAGGGGAAATCAAGTTGTGCAATTCCCTCGCACACTCTCTGAAATGGATCCGGTAGAAGACTAAAGGCTTGCAACCTTACGCCTGTGTTCGAAGCTTCCAATACAACCAACAGCAGCAGTTCCGGAGATTAGTGCGTCCAAACAAACAAACTCTCCAGCTTTATATAATAGTAATAAGATATAATATATATAAGATAAAAAAAATATAAGCTTTATCTGTAGGTATACCAAACTTTATAAAATGCTGTACTATCCTTAGAATTAGTGTGAAATATTATGCATTGTAGGTATATATTTTTGACAATTTAAACCAATCGTTTGATAAAAAAAATTACTCTTTCCAGTAGACGAGGAGTTTCCTCGTCTAAAGCGTACCTACATTTTACATTTCCTCTGAGGAAATAAAAAGATTTAATGAGTACTTAATGCTAATTCTTGTGATACGTTTCACATCTACT